TATGATTATATAAAGTTGACTTTTATCAACAAAATGATTTGCGTCTCTAGACTGGTGCTCAAACCTCATCCTCGTGAACTATCATACTATACTATCTTATAAAATAAGAGGTAAAAAAAATTGTTAATATTTAATATTAACCGCAAATATAAACGTCACTGTCAAAAGCAACTGGTTTTAGTTAAGAGATAACAAAATTAGTTCAATTGTATTATGCTCCAAACCTCAAAGTTCCACCACGTGATTACGTACGGAACGCAGCCTTTTGAAAATTTGGCATTTAAGGCTTTTTAGGTTATGTATCTGTCAAAGAATAGTCAACGAAAAAAATAATATTTATACTTTTACCGCTTATGTTTAAGCGTTAAATTTTTTTAAATCTTTATGGTATCACAATAACAATGGTTGGTTTAAGAATTTAGGAATATAAATACTAAGTACCTATAATAAATACTTTTTAATAAATTGTTTAAAAAATGCATTTTACGATAATAAACACACAAAATAATATTTTAGATTTTATAATAGCATGTTTATAACAGCAAGAATTTAACAACGATAGCCAAAAGGTTTTTATCATAGACAAATTAATATGTAGATTGTTTTTATAATTAACCATTTTGTTTGTTTTCCGTTGTATACGAATTGTTTTGGCATTGTTTGTTTCCATTGTGTTTACGAGATTTTTAGTGGCTTTTACATAACATGCATATTATGCCACTTTTTGCTTTTTATAATGCAAAACCACAGAAATTTATGTCTTTGATATCATATATTTTAAATACCACACTTATGAACTGACTATTAAAAGGAAACAAGATGTGGAAGTATGTGTTTCTAATACTTTCTTCTAATATGTAATACATGAAATGCACCTTTTGATATTTTTAAGAAATATTTTACAAATTTTAAAGCATATTCCGTAACTTAAACACAAGTTTAAAACTACATTAAACTTTTTACCTGTTAACTAGGTCTTAAAAATTAAATATGTATCAAGGCTTCCTTGACACAAATAGCGTATTAAATTAGCTTTTTCAATCCTCTTAAGTATTAAAAAAGGATTCTCCAACAAGTTAAGAACAGAAAATTTAGTTAAAACCTGTTCAAAATTCAAAAAATGGTTACTTTAATGTTAGTAATTGTTCTCGTAATTAAACTAATTAGTTCTCTACCTGTGTATAGTGATAAAAAGCTACCATGTATATATACATATACCTATAGGTTAAATATAGTAATATTTTAAAAATAAATAATAATATGAGTAACAAAGAATAAACTTATCCTTTTAAAAATAAGTAACTTTGCTAATTAATTTTCATTAACTTCTGAAATTAAAGCCATTCTTGGTAAATATGCAGTTACCCACTATTTTCTTGTGAAGTCGTTTCACACTACCTTGTCCTTCATTGTAAATGCACTTCTTTGAACTTTATGCTAATTAGATTCAAAGTATTTTTAATTATGAAGGAGGTGCGTCTCCCTAGAGAGAGATGCTCTATAAATAGAAATGGGTTGGGAATGATATATTTGACGTCAATACTGACTGCCCTTGTGAATATTCATTTTTATTTTTATATCAGCCAAGAATTTTAGTTTTTTATTCTCTTTGAAGTGTTCGGGATAAGTTTATAATAATCTATAGATTTATGTACCTATGTAAATCAGTAAATCAGTAATTAAGTAAATATTTTTTTTTATTAAAAAAAAACTTTTTACCAAAAAATGTCATACCTACATAAACTTGGGCATATTGGAACATAAATTTCCATTAGCAATTTATTTACGTGAGCTTGTAGAACAATTAATTTCTGGGAACGTAAAATCAATTCCCGTAAATTTTACTATTGGTATAACCCCTACGCGTATAAATTATAATGCGATTGTTCCACTGCCTAAACTTTCTCTATGGCCTAAACGTTGTCGTATTGTTAACCCTTGAACTTTGGGCATTCGTTGTTTTGTGTGTATTCATAACTAATAAAAAAATAAAATCAGTTATATCTGTCAATAAATATTTTTTTCTACTCCCACCTTTAAAACGCCCATTATAATGATAATTATCGTACATGTTTCCATAACATTTTAGTCTGAAGTTAGTTTTAAGTTTTCGATGAATTTCAATTGCAAATAACTTTTTTATTTGATGTCGGATTTAAACGAATATTAAAGAATATTGTAGATAAATTAATGGACAATCGCTCAAATTTTAAAAAATTACTAAAAAGTAGACGTACGTTTATAATATACATTTTTAAACAAAAATATGTTTTTTACCATAAGTTTAAGACACTCTGTAGAGTGGCAAAACCGTATATTGTTCTAAATTAAGTTTTATTTATCAAGTCACATCTATTCTTAACAGTTTTGTTTTTGGTTCACCTCGATATATTTATTTTTGTGGAAAATATAGATTTTTAAAAAAAACATTGCAATTTCCAATATTTTTCTGTATGAAGAACTAAGGTTGCTATGGTCCATCCATAGGCTATGGAGAATGACAGTGACAGTTTTGTTAAATCATCACATACTTGGACATGTCATACACGGCTATCAAAAGCTATCAAATTGTTTTTTTGCAAATTAATGTTTAAATTTTGAGGTGTCTTCTTACTTTAAAAAATGAATATGTCTCCGACTGATGTTACCAGAGCCATTAATTTAATCCAGGATGGACGGTCACAGTATTAAGTGGCAAGGGTTTTAATCGTCACAAGAAGTAAAGTACAAAGGGAAACATCATTGGGAAACATTTTTAAAAGTAAGAAGACACCTCAAAATTAACACATTAATTTATAAAAAACATAGCTTTTGAAAGCTGTATATGACATGTCCAATTATGGGATGATTCAACAAAACTGTCACTGTCATCCTCCATAGGCTATCGATGGACCATAGCAACCTTAGTTCTTCATACAGGAAAAATATTGGAAATTGTAATGTTTTTTAAAAAAAATCCATATTTTCTACAAAAATAAATATATCAAGGTGAACCAAAAACAAAACTGTTAAAAATAGATGTGACTTGATAATTAAAACTTAATTTAGAACAATATACGGTTTTGTCACTCTACAGAGTGTCTTAAACTTAGGGTAAAAAATATCGTTTTGTTTAAACCTGTATATTATAAACGTACGTGTATTTTTTAGTAATTTTTAAAATGTTAGCGATTCTTCATTATTGTATCTACAATATTCTTTATTATTTGTTTAAATCCGAAATCAAATAAAAAAGTTATTTGCTATTGAAATTCATCGAAAATTTGTGTGGATCGATTATTTTGCCTGTGAGTGTATTACTAAATGTAAAAATTATTTTATTATCTCAATACAAAAATACAAAAGTATTAGTAAAAAATCATCGCTCCTACGGTCGAGACGTGCTAGTTTCTCCGCTCTGAACTATAAACAAGTATACAGTGCACAGTCGGTGCATTTTAAAACCTAATCTAAAAGTTTAAAAGCGCGAAGTGAATTGCCACCCCACCTAAACATCGCAACATGAACCTGGAAGAGACCAATTACAAGGGGACATAGAGCCATATTCAGATAAGTTTTTAAATATTTTCACGTCGCTATTTGCGCAAATAAGAATTCACCGAGTCTACGGGCGTGTTTATACCTTCCCAAGTGATAAATCCGTAGAAATCAACAAGAAAGAATAAATGAGTTGAACAGGGTTAACGAACCCCTACATTAAATAGACCAAAGATGCACAGGCAGTATTATACTATAATAGGACGTGACAAGTAGTACTTAATAAACACATAAATCTTATGTAAGCAATCAAACCATTTTCTAATCTTTGCTTTCAATAAACAAACTGCGAGACCTTCTCGAATATAAAAAAAATAAACGGTAGAAGCAGTAAAAATAAATATAAATGCAATTTCTTAATTGTTAAATAAGAAAAGAAAAGTAAACACAATTTCTATCACAACAAGAAAACAACAAATAGTCGTTTTCAATAAATAGCTATTCTACTACTTAAATAGTTAAATTAGATAATTATAATTATGGATTGCCTAGATGGGTAAACAAAAATTCGGTAAAATTTGTCTAACCATTTGCCTTTCCGTTGGGACTATGAGTCAATAACATATATCGAGTCATTTTGAGTGATTCTAAGAGTGTGGGGAAAGTAAAAACAACACCCCAGTGGGCAAACAACTGCGTGCAAATTTGTCTAACCATTTGCCTTTCCGTTGGGACTATGAGTCAATAACATATATCGAGTCATTTTGAGTGTTTCTAAGAGTGTGGGGAAAGTAAAAACAACACCCCAGTGGGCAAACAACTGCGTGCAGCAGATTCCAAATTCCAGATGACCGATCAGAGACCATCAAGGATTTCCAAGTATCGTACTAATAACCTACGCCTCATTCATGAACCCCAATTAAATGGGGTCATTACTAATAAACTGGTTGAGGGGGAGTCCGGATTGTCCTTAGTTTTGGGTCAATTCAAGGCCCCCAAAAACCAACTGATGTCCCGCCTTGTCCTACACCCCTCTAGCCGAAATCGGGCTTATGGCCGACCCGGCGACAAAATTCATCCTAGGAAAGATTACCTTCCGAGGTGAAAATTCGGCACTCGCTGGTGCCTAAATTAAATTCGTGACTAAAATGGCGTTTATCAAACATGATACATAATATACTATAAATAATATTTTAAAGTTTAATATCTTTTTTGTGTTGCTGTTTAGCTATACTGTTTGCATCTTTATTTGTTTTTAGGGGCCATTTAAACATGGAACCTATTAAGTAGTAAAAAATAACTATTTAAAAGTGATGCTGTTAATAATTCAAGTAGTAGAATTTTGAATATTTTATTTTAAGAGAATTGGTGCCATTATTTTCTAAATTGTCTTTTCTATTTGTATAGTAGAATAGAGAATTTTAAAAAACAAATTGCATACAATATTTTTGACTTTTGACCTTTGACCTTTGACTTTCATCCTTTGTAACAAAAAAAAAATTAATATTTTTTTCTCTTCTTAGTGTTTGTGGAATTCAGCATTTTCAGAGGGCTGGTCATCGGCACTTGAATCTTTTTCAAGCCACTTACTACGTTGTGGTGACCTTTTCCACGGTTGGTTACGGTGATTTTGTACCGGATATATGGCCATCGCAGCTCTATATGGTGATAATGATATGTGTGGCCCTTATAGTACTACCAACCCAGGTAAAAAAAAAAGTTCACGTAAAAGTTTCTATAAATGCAATGGGGTAGTTAAATTTTTTCTGACCTATAATTTTTATGGTTTTATTCAAGGCGTTTTGTAATATTAAACATTTCTGTGAAATCGGAATTTCAATTGAGTTTACCGTTTTCGAGATATTTACAAAAAATATAAATTTTTATGACGTCACAAACCTCGCCATGTGACCAACATTTTAAGATTTCTATTGGTTGAAAATTACCCTGTTGTCAAGTTGTCTTGTTAATGATTTCATTCGGTTATGTCAGAAAATACCCGAAGAGGTTATGTACAAATACTGTCACTGTCAGTTGAGTGAAAGAAGAACAAGAGGAGGTTAAAGAAAATTCTAAAATTAAAAGTTTTATTGATATTGAAACACTGTGTAAAACCTAATAAAATGTAATAAATAGGTCTAAAGCAGAGTTTAATATATTTCATAGAAAAAAGTGGCAAAATAAAGCTGAAAATGAATAAAATAATTTTACAAAAAATAACAGCAAATGTAAGTTAACAATGGTATTTATGATATTTGTGTATAGTTTTTATAAAACTTGCATCCCTGATGATGAGCATCAAAACCTTTTGTAAGATTAAAAAAATGTATGACAAAGTTTTGGACTGTTCGAAGATACTACGCTCTAGAGTACATTTTTGTACTTTTCGACAATTCTGGTTTAAATATTGCTGCAATAACGTACATAGTAGGTAAAGATAGTGCAGGGTCTACAAATAGACATTTTGATTAAAATAATAAATATAATAAAATATATCTTCTGTGTAGAGAAACAGATGGTCACCAAATTCATTAAGTACCTATCTTCCTTTTTACGAGGTATCATATTACTGTTTGATATTTTAGAGTCCAAGATATATCTAAAAGAATATAAAGAACATTATACTAATGAAATGCATTTACGACAAAATATGATTATTGTAACGTTTTTAACTGTTCGTAGTGTGAATTAAAACACGCACTGGTTAATTAACGAACTAAACTATTTATTTAATAACTTAACTACACTTAAAACACTATAAAACTAACTAAACACTTAACTACTAATTATTTATATATCACTATTGTTCAAGAGTCTATTTATTTGCACTTATATTTATTTATTTCGCCGCGAGTACCAAATCTTAACTGACTGCCGTGTGCTGCTCCGTTTCTTATATATTCAGCGCCAAGGTCTTCTGGAACATTCCAGCGAGCTCCACACTCTCGATTATTCGAGCGCTGAGTCACCGGCGATGACTCACCGGCAATGACTAATCGGCGATGAGTCATCACTCCGATATCCAGGGCGGTACTCGCTACATTGCCCCCGTCTTAAAACATTTTCGTCCCGAAAATGGTCCTCAGCTCCATGGCGATATTTGCATAGAGATCCAAACTTGCATTGTGACGTCCTATAGAAGTAGCAGTCTACGGTCTTCCTTTCGGTTGTTCTTTTAGGGTTGTGGCAACAGACAAGAATGTGTATGCCACTAAATCTGAAGATAACTTCCACCATACTTCTAATTATTCTCCAGTCTAAACCGTCAAGTCCACAAGCAATCTTCGGTATCGCCAGGTTCATGATGTCCTTGGATAAAAGGGCATCCCTCAATTTATTTAAGGCATTCCATACGTCCCGGTAGTTTGGCTTCTGATAGGAGAGCTGCTTCGTTACCAGATAGAAGATACTTCTATTGCCTATCTGCTCATTATTCACAATTTCAAGCACCTCTCCAACTTTGGGATTCTGCCTTCGTAGCTCGTCGATCCGTCCAAACTTGTTTTTAAAAACAACCGCTATTCCCCTGGACATCCTTAGGTCTTCCGCAACACAGTGAGCCAGGGAGTAATCGGCCGAAACCGTGAACAGATCTCTTTGCTCTTCTCGAGTGACACCATACCGAGCTTTTTTACCGCTCGAATATAAATACATGAAGTCTTCAAAAGGCAAGTCGTCTCCTGGCGGATTAACTCTCCTTACTCTAGCATCGTCTATTTGATTATTGTTTCCAGCGTAAGGGGCCAATCGGTTGAAATGGATCACTTTCGGCTTTCCTCTTGGTTGTTTCCTGATCCTGTAGATGATGTCATTTATTCGATCCATGACTTCGTATGGTCCCTCCCAAGAAGTCTGCAGCTTCGGTGAATAACCACGACGGCGCTGAGGGTTGTATAACCAAACTAGGTCTCCAGGTTGAAATCCTCCATTTTCCGCCTTGATGTCGTATGCCTCTTTCATTCTATCACTGGCGCTCTGGATGTTTAAACGAACTCGGCTGTGAATGTCGCTCATTTTCCTACGTAAATTGTTGACGTAATTTTCTCCAGCAATATCATCCCCTGGTAGGCAACCAAACCTCAGGTCACAAGGTAAACGAAGTTCACGTCCCATAACAATGCTAGCGGGTGTCTGGCCGGTTGTATCGTGGATAGAAGAACGGTACGCCAACAGGAACAGATGAAGGAAGCGGTCCCAGTCTCTTTGGTGATCAGAGACTACCTTGGACAGGTACCGGTTTATAGTTCGATTCATTCGTTCTACCATTCCATCAGACTGCGGATGTAATGCAGTCGTCCTCGTCTTCCGAATGTTAAGAATTTTACAGACATTCTGGAACAGTATAGATTCAAAGTTCCTGCCTTGGTCTGAATGCATCTCCATTGGCACACCAAAACGACAAATCCACTCCTTAATAAGGGCATCGGCCACTGTGGCAGCTTCCTGGTTTGGCAAGGCGTACGCTTCCGCCCACTTGCTGAAGTAGTCCATTACAACGATGATGTATTTATTTCCAGATTCTGTTTCCGGAAATGGACCCGCCACATCGATTGCAATTCTCTCAAATGGGCTGCCCACATTGTACTGTCGCATTGGGGCTTTTGGGCGCTTCTGGGGTCCATTGCTTGCCGCGCAAACGGCGCACTTCTTGCACCATTCCTTCACATCTCGTTGGCTGTTGACCCAATAAAACCGTTCCCTAAGTCTTCCGAGCGTCCTGGTCACCCCAAGATGTCCTCCAGTAGTTCCATCATGGATTTCCTGCAGCACTTCTGGTATCCTGTTTCTGGGGATTATTATCTGCTTCCGGTCTTCCCCCCCTTCTGGCATCTCCAAAACGCGCTTTAGAAGCCCGTCACTTAGGATGATGGAATTCCATTGGGCCCAGTACGATTTCACATTCGGCGAATATTGGGCGACTTCCTGCCACGTTGGTTTACGGTCGTTCTTCTTCCAATCGATGATGAGCTTCAAATCCGGGTCCCTTTCCTGGTCTTGTTGAACCTCAGCGGATTGCCAATGATCATCTACGATTGTAGTCCTGCGAATATACACATCCTTTTCTTCGGCCCTATTTATTTTTCTAAATGAAGTCGGCGCCACCTGACTTCCTCTGCAACGACTTTGGATATGTCCCAGCTTTCCACATCTCCAACACCGGATTTCCTTCTTCTCTGGTAAATTCTCCTTAAGAACTCGCCTTATTGCTTCAATTATCCTGGGTTCTTCCTTCTTTTCTTCTTCGACTCTCCTTATTCTAGACTGGCTCCTGCAGCTCTGCTTTGCCGCCTCGAATTCCAAAGCTCGAGCCAATGCATCAACCAGTTGGCTCGGGCGAGCCAGTATTAGAGCCTGTCGTGTTTCATTGTCCCGAAGTCCATCCAAAAAGGCTTGAACCGCTAATCGTTCCATAACGGTCGTTGGAGTAGCTGGATATGCTAGCCGAACCAAGCGTGCAATATCAGCTTCAAATTCTTGCAAAGTCTCGTTAGATTTCTGGCAGCGATTCTTTAGTTGGGAATGGTACACATGTTCCAGATGTGTCTGGCCATATCGAAGTTCCAGATGTTTAACCAACGCTTCGTAATCTTCTTGTTCGTTGGGAGAGAGTGTCTGCAAGATGTCCGTTGCATCTCCGCGTAAAGCCAGAGTCAATGCTGTAGCTTTTTCTTCTGGTAGCCAGCCATTTGCTTTTGCTGCTGCCTCAAACTGACGGATGTAGTTGGTCCAAGAAGTTTTTCCATCGAACTGAGGTGGTTTCATTCGAACTCGGCTCCCCTCCGGCATTGTTCCTGGTTCCGCCAGCATCATGGGTAGATTTACAGCTGTCAGTTTACTATTTATTTCTTTAATTTTGACTTCCAATTTATCATCCAATTCCATCCTTACGTCATTCAATTCCATCCTTACGTTATTTAATTCCATCCTTACGTCCTCTTTTAATTCCTTAACATTATCTAGAATCTTCTGTTCCAAACATTCCTTTAAATTTTTTGAATTTTCCAGAATTTTCTGCTGTAGTTCGCTAGAATTTTCCTGCATTTTCTGTTGCAAATCGTCCTTTAAATCGTTGACATTTTCCAACATTTTCTGTTGTAACTCGTTAGAATTTTCCAGCATTTTCTTTTGCAACTCGTTAGAATTTTCCAGAATTCTCTGTTGTAAATCGTTGGAATTTTCCAGAATCTTCTGTTGTAAATCGATTTTTAAAACGCTAGAATTTTCTACCATTTTCTGTTGTAACTCGTTAGAATTTTCCAACATTTTCTGTTGCAAATCGCTTTTTAAATTTTGCAACAATAAATGCATATCACATGAACCTTCAAATAAATACGTATCTGGATTTTCACCTTCTTGTTCCAACGCTTCTCGAAGCCGCTGCTGCAACACATTCTTTTTCCCAGTTGTATCACATTCCCTTTCTTCTAGCTCCCGCTTAAGGTCCGCCACTTTTAAGTCCATTAACGAAACCATTTTCGCGAAGTTTCACACTAACCGCACTCCTGACACCAATGTAACGTTTTTAACTGTTCGTAGTGTGAATTAAAACACGCACTGGTTAATTAACGAACTAAACTATTTATTTAATAACTTAACTACACTTAAAACACTATAAAACTAACTAAACACTTAACTACTAATTATTTATATATCACTATTGTTCAAGAGTCTATTTATTTGCACTTATATTTATTTATTTCGCCGCGAGTACCAAATCTTAACTGACTGCCGTGTGCTGCTCCGTTTCTTATATATTCAGCGCCAAGGTCTTCTGGAACATTCCAGCGAGCTCCACACTCTCGATTATTCGAGCGCTGAGTCACCGGCGATGACTCACCGGCAATGACTAATCGGCGATGAGTCATCACTCCGATATCCAGGGCGGTACTCGCTACATTATAATTATAGGTACTTACTTTATTTGTTTAAAAGCTCCAATGTTCAATGTAACCAACCATTCCACAAGATTCCTCTGCTTTGGAGTCCGTTATTAATAAATCACTTATCTAATATCAATTACAAATAACACAACAATAACATTGATTTTCAATAATCTAAATTTAAAAAAAAAAAACATAAACCGAAAAAAAGAAACGTCAAAAAATCAATTCTTCTTCTTCTTCTCAACTAAAATTATAGATCAAGTGGTTTTAAAACTAAAATATTATAACGTGGCGCCATCTATCGTAAGAATCTTAAACTAAACACACTGGCAACCATAGAAAAAGCTGGCAACGTTGTCAATAGCCTAGTGACGTAATTAGGAGATTTTTTTTTGTAAATATCTCGAAAACGGTAAACTCAATTGAAATTCCGATTTCACAGAAATGTTTAAAATTACAAAACGCCTTGAATAAAACCATAAAAAGTATAGGTCAGAAAAAATTTAACTACCCCATTGTTCATTAGTTCGAACAACTCGCATTCACGTGGATGGAACGGCAAAAACTCGGAGGCTCCTATTCGTCCCATCGGGCCCAATCGGAAAAACACGTGGTGGTCTGTAGTACGACCCTGCACGCGGACACCATAATGGATTTTCTCAACGAATTCTACGCTCATCCTCTACTGCAGGTACTGTACTGTTTTGGGAAATGTAAAGGGATTTCCATCTTAAATCGACCAGGCAAAATAATTTTTTTTTTCAGTTTTTCAATTTAAAAAAAATTGCAATGATCAAAACATGTTCGGCCAAGTTATCGCATTTTCAAAAAAAAATGTCACTAGTAAAAAGAAAAAAAATCGATGTTTCTGTCCATTTATCAAAAATTTCCTACGGGTAAACTAAACAAATTTAAGCAAAAAGAAAAATACGGGTCTCATCAATTTCGGTAAAAAAAACTGTAAAAAAATTTTGTTAAAAGAAAACACTTACCCCTTTTGCCTGGTCGATTTGAGATGGAAAAGCCCAAAGTAGTTTCTTTAAGAAACTTTCTTGACCCATAACTGGTAATATTCATAAGAAAAAATTGAACCTGATGTTCTTACATCTCGCCTCTGTTGGCTTACCAACCGAGCATATAGGGAGTCCTTTGTTTTGAGTGTTTTCCACTACACCAAGTTTCCCAACACTGATGAGACCCAATATAGGTCGAAACAGCTTTCTGTCGGTATTTGAAGTTGGTGGAACGAAACTCAAAACAAAAAACTTTGGCGACGTGTAGGTTCAATTTTGTCTTATTTTTACCTTTGTTTTCTCAGGACTATTACGTGGTGCTGCTGTCGCCCATGGAGCTGGACACCACCATGCGGATGATCCTGCAAGTGCCCATATGGGCGCAAAGAGTGATTTACATTCAGGGATCGTGTTTAAAGGATGGAGACTTGGCGAGAGCGAGGATGAACGAAGCTGAAGCTTGTTTCATTCTGGCTGCGAGGAATTATGCAGACAAAACAGCTGCGGTAAGTCAAGTTATTACAAATACGAAAACCTCATTTATTATTCTGAATTCGCAATATACCGCACTTGCGGTAAAATATTGGCCTACAATTTAATTACTACAAACTACTAATATAAAGTTCCTTCAATATTTTACGTGTAAAGTTTTGAATATTCTACAATTGTGCTTTCATATTACCTTGATATTTTGCTAGATTTATCCTAAATAAATCTCATAACCCAACTAAATAAATATTGGATTAGGATGTAAAACCAACCCGATATGATTTTGATAACATAATTTTGAGATTAGTAGCAAAATTGAGTTCGCCACAATCGATTGGTCCACTAAATGTAAACGGTTAGCTCTCGGGACACGGCACTTAATATCGGTTACAATGAATGTGCAGGATCCTTTGATATTTTAGTCAATCAACATTTAGGTAATTAACTAAATTGGATCGCGGTCTAGACTGTAAAAGAAATATTTTCGAAGCCATTTATTAAGTATTAATAATAATAAGTTTTTGCCTTATAATATTTATATCATTCTAAGTAAATTATCTAAAATCTAAGTAAAATAACGTTTTTCTAAACTTGTTTTTTAACCAATTAGTTGTATTCAACCATTAACACGTCAATTTACATATCAAGGGGGACAACTGTTGAGGTATTTGTTGTTGTATTACATTTAACCCCAGAGCACCTACCACAGTGGTCAAAACTTAAGTATAGGACGAACAAAAATGCCAACCAAAACTGATAGCATATCCTATTTTAAAGTTTTGCAAACTTTTTTGTTTTTCTATTTCTATATATTATTTTTCAATTATTGTACTAAAACTACCTGTACAATTTTAATAAAATTAAGCAAATCATTTAAATTACTTTACTCACCTATAATTTTTTACCACTCAAAACAAAACATAACAAAAAAAACGAAGATTTATATCTTAAATATTTTTTATAACAAAAAGTCTGTCTATAAAATAATTACAACTTGCAAATTTTGAAAAAAAATAATTAAGGTGGTTATGAAAAAAATTGCTATACGTAATAAAAATTACTGCAGACTTTTCAAACGAACAAAGTGTGAAGTGTGAAGTGATTCAAAATTTTTGCATAGTCACAATTGCCAAATTTTCAAAATTTAGAAATTGCTAGAGAATTTCGCGGCAGCCAAGAATGTATGTGCTTTATCTGCAAAATGGCAAGATATAAGGGGCATAAAAAATTATTAAGGGAAGAGGACGGACGAACGAACTAAAGTTTTGAAATGCTCTTCCTTTCTAGGGGATATCGCTAGATGTAAGAAGCATGTTTGTACAGAGACTGAAGAATTTAAAAATACTGTTTCCATGTTAAAAACAATTCCATGTAAAACCCAAGAAAAAGTTTTACTGAAAATTTAAGGCAAGCAGTAATCGATTTTGCTTCAAACAATCTTTAGTTATTTATTAGTTTTGTATTAGGTACCTTAAAACAATAAATAAAATATTGCAAACTGTATTTTACATTATTTTATATTTATAATGTAATTTATCCATATTTCAGTCATGTATCTGCCAAATTTTTAAAAACATTTGATAATGGTACTAGAGTATTTTATCGAAATGTCCTAAACAATTTTAAAATACTAAGAAAAATGCAAAACTGTAATAAAGGATCAACTGGGATTTTGATAAATACATTTTTGTGTTACCAAAAGAGTCTATAATCAGATTATGCTATCAGTTTTGGTTGGAATTTTTGTTCGTCCTATTCTTTAGTTTTGACCACTGTGCAACCCCTAAAATTTTAAATAGCCCGCCATTTATTTCATCCTTATGTAAATCTAGATAAGTTACATTTTTTTGCCAAAATTGAAGTGGAGATAATCAGAGTTGGGATTAGTCACTAATATTTTCAATCGATTGACGAATCAAACTAAAAAATTAGTGATTATTTTAGTTATGACAAAATCAATCAAGATTAAAAATTTAGTTTTAGTCGAAACTAAAATCAAGTAATCATTAGTTATTTGTTTTAGTTTGATTGAAATTTTTAATTAAAAAGGTATATTCCGTATTTGTAAGCGAGGTTATAAAAAATTATGAAAACTGTCTTTGTAAAATACAATACGCCTATGCCGTCATAGAACGAATGTTTTCCCATGCAACAAAATCACACAAACTATCCGATGAGATTTTTGAGAAAAGAGTCGTCATGAAAAATAATTTAAATATAATTATATATAAATTATAATTATAATTAATCGGAAACATTGACGTACAGTTGTATTCAATAAAAAAGCGTACAAGAATTAGAATGAGAGAAAACTGTCAACATTATTGCGTAAAACCGGCTTTCCACTGACTTAAGTCACTATAACTGACAGTAGAAATTAAAAATGCCTCGTCAGTTAAAAAGGCTCAAATAGTATCAAGAATCGAAGAAGAATGGTCAATTCGTACTGTGGTATAATAGAAATAAAAAATCTATATTAAAAATTAAGCAACGCTGGGAACAGGAAGATTTACTAAACCAAAAAGTTGGTTCAGGTCGTCCCAAAATGTCCACCCCTGAACAGGATGCTGCTTTTTTGAGATATCTGAGGATTTATGGGAAACTATACAACTATACTATACCTACTATACTGCTGGGAAGATATTAATCCAAATATTGTATTAAATTTAATTCAGTTCATCCCAAATAGATTGGCTCAAGTAATAGAAAAACAGGGATGCATGACTAAATATTAAATTTTTTTTAATGTTTGTTTTTTTCATTATTAAAAGGTTATAATTTTTGTAATATTATTTAATTAACCTACGACGTCAATGCTCTTTATAACCTATAATAATTATTTTAATGACTTATGTCAGTGATAAGCCGGTTTTAGGCAATAATATTATTTTGACAGTTTTCTCTCATTCTAATTCTTGTACGCTTTTTTATTGAATACAACTGTACCTAACCAAGAAAAAATTATCTGTTTAATTATATGTTAATAAATAAAAAAAATAGCATAAGTAAATAAAAGATTATTTATATAAACATACAGAGTGTCCCAGAATATGTGGGCAATCTTCCGGATTCAAAAATAATATAATCTCATATTTTTTTCCTACGCTCCCCTCTAAGGAGATACGGTCCCATACGGACACCCCTGGAAATCGTTTTTTTTTGTGGAATTGAATAATTTTTAAATATAGTGTTTACTAAGTTTCCTTAAAATGGACACTTTTAATTATATTTGGCTTATTTAGTTTGCCAAGGACGGACTAGCTCTAACAGAGCAATACTATTTTTTTAACACCCTGTACTATAAAGGCATAGGTAACTAATAATATTTTTAGTCAGCTTAAACCTTAAAGTAAAAAAAGGTAATCCTGATCGACAACGATAAAATGTAAAGTACATACGAAAAAAAAATGTTTTTGTACAATAGGGTTTTTTACATTTTTTTGTGTTTACATTTATTTTTTACATTTACCGATTTAAAAATTTGAATGATGTCAGTGTCAGTTGAAAATAAAGTGTTTTGAAATTTTCGATCCTTTTATTTTCTTTCCAGGGGCGTCCGTTATGGGCCGGTATCTCCGTAGGGGGGCCGTAGGAAAAATGTATAGGAACTTGTCATATTATTTTTATGTGTTATATCTAAATCCAGGAGATTGCCCACATATTCTGAAACACTCTGTATAGGACTTTTTTTTGCACACTTTGTATAAATGTATAAACCATTTGTATAATTTAATTAATCGTTTACTTTGCGTTTTCCACGACATTACTATTTCAATCAAAATTTTAATCAAGATTGAAAACTAAAACTAATTCAATCGATTATTTCAATCTTTTACATAGGTAACTAAAACTAATTCAATCGTCAATCGTTAGTTAAACTAATTTCGTTAGTTTTAAATCGTCAATCAAACTAAATTTTTGCCAAAACTGCCACAAATGTATCGAATGTGGATTAAAATACTGCCAGATTTAACGGGGTTCCGCAGTGAAAGTGATAATAAAGATAATATAATTACTTTAAGTCCATGTCTGACGGTGCAATTTCTCGCGGCGACTTTGTTGCGGCGACTAGTTGCAGCGACTTTCTCGCCTCTAGGGTGTTCACACGGTGCAACCAAACTGACGTTATTTTCTACTAGGATTGCCAACATACCCAAAAATTACTTAGTTAAAAAATAAAAATACCTAAACAAATTTAATGTTTATTTAAATCGGTTTTGTTTTTCTTTTAAAGTTATAAGTATTTTGTGGTGTAAAAATAAAAACACTCAGATTAAAGCACACGCAAATCACATCTGTCATTCCACAGCTGATAAATATTAAGTACCAACCAAAAAATTTAGTGAAAATTCGTAAATCCCTAAAAAAGTTACTAAGTCGCGGCGATTTTATTGCATGAAAATAGAACATGTTCTATTTTGAGACAGGTTAGATCAGCTGATTAGTTGCATCGTGTGACCACCAAAAAATCGCGGCGACCTAGTCGCCGCAACAAAGTCGCCGCGAGAAGTTGCACCGTCAGACATGGACTTTATTAATTGTTCAAAATGGTTTCCATTGTTTTGTAAGCACAAGTACAGTCGATATTCAAACTGTTCGCGGACGTTTTGAAGTGTTTCTGGTAAAATAGCCCTACATTCTTGTCCAATCCTTTGTTGGTGTTGTTTAATTGAGTCCGGTTCGCAATTGAATGGGTCCCATCCTACCAATCCATTGCTCCGGATAATGATTTTCCAACCACTCTCTTACTGGACGCACATAATAAGGAGGTGCTCCGTCCTGCTGAAAGATTTCAAGATTTCCACGACGTCTCTTTGATTTTCCACCTCATGAATTAATCAAGGCTCAATTCTATTGTATATATACTGTCGAACATTTCTGCATACATTTCACCATTTAAATTTCCATCTATGAACAAGATCAATGATAGTATCGCCTAATATGCCCGCCCAAACATTTATTTTTTGAGGATATTGGGTATGCCCCCTAGGGTGGGCCAAAAAAAACTTTTAATTTTTTTTTCTTCAGTTACCATGAAAATATCGTCCAAGATGACGAAAAAAAATTCTGATAAAGTTGGTGGCTAATCGCGATTTTTTATTTTCCATTTAAATAACACCGGAAAAAACATTTTTTTGTTTGTAATTTTATTGCGTTTTAACGAATAAGTGAGTTGTAGAAATCATTACATATTCTTGTAGGGAATTGAACGATCTACAAAAAAGATTTGATATGATTTTTTGCTTAGTCGACTCGTTTAAAAGTTATTTGAGGTTAAAGTTCACCCTCAAATAGTAAATGAGGACTTTTATAGTTTTTCATACTGAGTAATAACAAAAAAAATTAATCATTTTCTTAAAAAATAATAAATATTCTATTTACACTTAACTATTAGGTAATGTAGAGTAATAAAAGCCATGTTTCAATAATTTTTCAATTTAAATAAAAAATGTTATTCCATAACTTTTTCACTATCTTAGAATCAAACTAAATTTTTCTTGTTACAATTGGGATATTTTTGCCGGTGGTTTTTAACTGCTCATAAAACATTTTCTTTAATTTCACTGTGAAAAACAGTCAATTTTCAAGAAATACATTTCGATTTATAACCTTTATAATTGTGTTTATAAAATTTAAAAATTTGACATTTGACGGTGACACACAGATTCCCCTATTGTTTCATAGATGGCGCTCTATACAAATTTTTGAATTAAATCATTTTAAGATAATAATAAGTATTTGTCGTAGAAAAAGTATAGTATGCACCTCGTTTATAAACTTTTCTATACACTCATTAATTTAATAATAATACTATTAATATAGTAGTTTCTAATCTTCTTATTAAAACAGACTTTATTAGGCTAGTTCACTCGATAATAGGAATATTTAAAGATAAAAACACAAAATGATTTTTTTTTCAGTTAGGCTGCTTTTGCAGTATTTTATTTTATTATTAATATAAAATAAAGTTTTTTTTTCATGTTTTTTTTTTCAAATCTGAAAAAGGAGGAAAATTTATTAGGTTATAGAAAAAAATATATATTACAAAAAATAGATTATAATTTTTAACTAAATATAGCAAATTTAACATTTTTAAAAATTTTAACATTCTAATAAATAAAATTCTATCAAGGACTTTTCTTATTCTGTTGCAGGACGAGCATACGATTTTGCGGTCGTGGGCGGTAAAAGACTTCGCGCCAAACGTAGCGCAATATGTGCAAATCTTCCGACCGGAAAACAAACTTCACGTTAAATTTGCCGAATACGTGGTGTGCGAGGACGAATTTAAATACGCCCTGCTGGCGAATAACTGCACCTGTCCTGGTGCTTCGACTTTGGTCACATTACTTCTGCACACTTCCAGGGGACAGTAAGTATAAAATTATGCCTTCGCTCTAATAAATACGGGGCTTTCAATTAAAAACCAGCCACCCTTAATAACTTTTGAGTTACAGTAAATATGAGCAATATAAGCGAAAACAGGTCGATTTAGATATCAAGGGGAAGGTACAGGGTGATCCCCTATAATGTCGCCCCCCTTTAACTTTTTATTTTAAGTGTCCGAAAAAATTTCAAAGTGTTGTTATGTAGGTACTAAAAAATACTTTTTTTCTACGTATAAAGAAAATTGGAAAATTGATCAGTATACAGGGAATTCCTTGTAAAATTCCAAGCATTTTTTATATAACATACCATATACCTAATTCAACCGTTTCTGAAATATTTAAATTATTTTTAAGATAATAAGTTGAAATAGTTTGTCTTTCTCTGTCTGAGTAGGCCATTTTTACTTATTTAACAAGACATATTGACGTAATGTCACTATAATAATTTATTTTCAATAAAAATGTTGGTATACTGAGGCTTCTTGATTTTTAACAGTTTAAAAAAACATTTAATGATAACATTTCGAATGCGAATATTTCAGAAACAGTTGAATTTAGGATATGGTTTGTTATATGAATTATGCTCAGAATTTTACAAGGAATCGAAAAATAAATTCATATATAGGGTGATCCATTGAAAAAAAATAAACTTTTTGTTTTTCTATGTATATTGATCAATTTTTCATTTTTTTTTAATACGTAGAAAAAAGTATTTATCTACTCCTACATTGACGAGCTGTGACTTTATGACGGGCTGAAGTTAACAACAAAGGCTTTTCGACATTTTACGCCACGGGCTGAAGTTAGCTTTATTATAAATTGGGAAAAAGTGAGGTTAAATTCGGGTGACAGTTGACAGATGTCAAAATTTTAACAAATAAAATTGGCTTTAAATTCTGTTTTGTGTTCGTCGTAGATAAAGTATAGTATGCAACTCGTTTATAAACTTCTCTAGACACTCGTTTTTATTAAACACTCGCTCGCAAGCTTCGCTCGTGCTTAATTAAACTCGTAACTAAAATGACGTTTATAAAACTTGATACATAATATACTATATTTAGTACCCACATAACTACACTTTGAAATTTTTTGGGACAATTAAAATAAAAAAGTTAAAGGGGGGCGACATTATAGGGGATCACCCTGTACAAATACAGTGTTAAATAAATTTTATGTTGCACCCTCCCACCATTAGCTACCCTTACTAAATAATTTCAAATGGCACCCTATTAAGGAAAATTCCATTTCTGATCCATTGAGGTTAAAAAAATTAAAATCCGATCAAAGATTTGCAAGTTAGAGCCAAAAAAGGTGTGATATAAATAAAACAAAGAATTTCGTAAAAATATTTATCCGAAATCGGCAGTAAAGTGGTCAACAATCGGCAGTAAAGTAGTCAACAATCGGCAGTAAAGTAGAACTTTACTGCCGATTTAATTTTATGATTAATAGTAAATAATTAAGACAGAACTGTATTTGTATTAAATATTTATATATTTACAATAAATTTAGCATACCTATAGTCGTCAATCTCACAATCCCATTTTTATAATTTTACAGAAGAGCATTTTGAAAATTACTGCAATATTCGGTTTAACAATATACTCGATTAACATATAAAATTACAGATATAAACCATAATAATTTTATAAGTTTATTTTATACTATAATATATTTTTAACCTGCAGTAAGCTTTAATAACCTATAGGTATACAGTGAGCGCGTTAAAATCCCCCCCTGTTAACTTTTGAACCAAATAAGATATCGATGTCGGACAAAATAATTTTTTTTTGCCTAACAAGTGCCAAGAGGGCAGTATCAACTTGAAAATTTCAAATGTAAAGGGGGTGCTTGTGATACCTCATTTAAAAGGTATTTTAATTCTCTATATAACACTTTTTTTGTTTTTAAAATCCGTTTAACCATAGCTTAGTTATTAGGGTTTAAAATTTTTAAAAACACGTTTTATTTTAGTTTAATTTATTAAGAAAAATTTAAATTAGATGTTCGAAATGTTCCCCTTGGACAGCTTACACACAAATAGCCTATCTTCAAATTCATTTCTAACATTAGCAAAAGTTTCTTGCGTAATACTAGCACATTCACGTCCAATCCAGTGTTTAAGATCATCTATGGTTTCCGGTTCTGTAATGTAGACCTTCGATTTTAAATATCCCCACAAAAAAGTCAAGTAGCGTTAAATCGGGAGAACGAGCCGGCCATTCGGTAGGATCACGCCTACCAACCCACCGATTTGGGTAACTGTTATTAAGCCATTGTCTAACATCCCTAAAATAATGTGGGGGCGCTCCATCCTGCTGAAATATGACTTCTCTGTCAAATTCATCAGGATAGATATTGATTATTTCCTCAATCATTGGTTGAATTTGGGTTTGAAGCATGTTAAGATACAGAATACCTGTCAAATGTTGTTCCAAAAAGATGGGGCCTACGATATGGTTTCCCAGTATTCCCGCCCATACATTAACTTTACTGATACTGGGTGTGACCTTCTCGAAAAAAATGTGGATTAACATCTGACCAGTAGCGTACATTTTGTCTATTAACAGTACCATTTAGAAAAAAAGTGGATTCATCACTAAAGCAAATTGAACTTATGTAGAGTGGATTTTGTGCTATGCGCTCACACATAAGTTCACAAAATTGCATTCGGTGATCAGGGTCATCTACAGTTAGTTGGTGGAGTATTTGAAGCTTGTAGGGATAACATTTGTTCTTCTTTAAATATTTCCTAACAGTTGTTTGAGATACAACACAAGTCTCTGCAACTGCGGCCGTCGATTGTTGTGGAATATTGATAACTGAACCAACTATTTGCACCTGTTTCTCTTCGGAAATTGATTTCCTTCCCGATCCTTTCTGCCTACCCACACTTCCACTTGTTTGAAATTTTGCCACCAAATCCCGTAGATATTTCCTGCAAATTGGGTTTTCTGGGTACCTTTCATTAAACACCTTTTCTGTTTCGTGCAAATTTCGCCCCATTTCACCATAAATAAAAATAGCCTCCGTTTTTTCTTCTAATGGGCGATGTCGAACCATTTTTCATTCAAATATTAATTTAAATTGCATGAACAACTAACAATTTAATACTAAAGATATTAATTATTTTATTTTTGTATCTTTTTAAAAACAGGATATTGGTAGGTATGGGTATTTAAAACAAAAAAGTTGGCAAAAAACGCATAATTATTGCACTGGTTTGCAATAATTCGCACTCTGCGAAAATGTGAGTAGAAGCGACAAAAACGCTTAATAACTAAGCTATGGTTAAACGGATTTTATAAACAAAAAAAGCGTTAAATAGAGAATTGAAATTCCTTTCAAATGAGGAATCACAAGCACCCCCTTTCCATTTGAAATTTTCAAGTTGATACTGCCCTCTTGGTACTTGTTCGGCAAAAAAATTTCATACTGACGTAAAAAAGTAGTAAACACAATATTGTTTACCCTGGTTTTTGTCCGACATCGATATCTTTTTTGGTTCAAAAGTTAACAGTGGGGGAATTTTAACGCGCTCACTGTATATAATATATACAGTGAGCGCGTTAAAATATTATGCTCTCTTGTAAAATTATAAAGAAAATACGTCCCTTTGTGAGATTGACATGGATATGCCATATTTATTGAAAATATAAACATATTTTTTAAATATACAGTTATATGCTAATTATTAATTATTAATAATAAATTTTGTTAATTATTAATTATTAATTATTAATTTTGTTAATTATTAATTATTAATAATAATAAATTTTGTTAATTATAAATAAACTGATTTATAAAAAATAACTCAAAATTAATAATAATGTTAATAATTACTTCCCGGGTTATTTATAATCAACTTAGTTTATTTATAATAAATAAGGGTTGTTTTTAATGCAATTTTATTTCTTACAGATAAAGTATTTGTTTATAATAAATAAATATTTATTTAACACAAAAAAGTATATTAAAGTAATACTAATAAATTATTTGTTTTTAAAAAATAAATATTTATTCCGCCATTATCGAATAAATCCTTTATTTATTGTTAAACAACATCATTAAGTGTAAATAAACTGTTCTTTCAGTGTGATATATCACATCTTTTTTGGCTCTAACTTGCGAATTCGTGTTCGAATTTTTTTAACTTCAATGAAAGAAATTAAATTTCCTTTAACAAGGTGACATTTAAAATATTTTAGTAAGGGTGGGTGGAGGTGAAAGTTAAAAACCTTAAACCAAAATATTTTTAGCTTGCAAAGTGGTTAAGTAGCAAACAAGGCAGAAATAGCGTTTAAATCCCCCCTTAAGCTCTCTATAATGACCTTTTCTTAAAATTTAACAGAATCAAATTACATCTTAAGCCCCGAGTTAAAACGTAAAAGTCACGCTCAAATAGTGGGCGAAACCCTATAAAAATATTTTAATTGGGTTTTTATTTCTTGATTTATTTGCCGACAATGTTTTATTGGATTTCCCATTAAACTGAGTGATTTAAACGTTTTATATTTAAATTTTTGACGCAGCCCGAGTAAAAAAGATCCCCGATTAAAAAGTAGTTAAAATAATCTCAATATAATGGTGTTTGTGTCTAAAGCATACAAAATATTGGGACGTCTTATAGTGCTAGATAAATCCTGTTCGCAAACAGAAATACAACGTCCTAAAATACCATTATTTTCGAGGTGAGATTTCGGGCTCAAATACCTATTATTTCGCAGGGAAGGGCAGCAATCCCAAGAAGAATGGCACAGACTGTACGGCAGGTGTTCGGGTAATGAAATTTATCACATCGTTCTGGGAGACAGTCGATTTTTCGGAGAGTACGAAGGAAAAAGCTTCACGTACGCTAGTTTCCACTCGCACAGGAAGTAAGTGAATTTGTTTTTAAGTTATTTTAGATGTTTTCACAGGTTATTGTTTTCGAAAATATCGATTCTACATAAATAGGTTTAAATTTAAGTAGGTAAGAATCTTCTGGAACCGGTTGGCTCTATACACGGTGGTCAAAACTAAAGTATAGGACGAACAAAAATGCCAACCAAAACTGATAGCATAATCTGATTATAGACTCTTTTGGTAACACAAACATCTATTTATCAAAATCCCAGCTGATACAAAATAATGTAAAATACAGTTTGCAATATATTATTTATTGTTTTAAGGTACCTAATACAAAACTAATAAATAACTAAAGATTCTTTGAAGCAAAATCGATTACTGCTTGCCTTAAATTTTCAGTAAAACTTTTTCTTGGGTTTAACATGGAATTGTTTTTAACATGGAAACAGTATTTTTAAATTCTTCAGTCTCTGTACAAACATGCTTCTTACATCTAGCGATATCCCCTAGAAAGGAAAAGCATATCAAACCTTTAGTTTGTTCGTCCGTCCTCTCCCCTTAATAATTTTTTATGCCCTTTATATCTTGCCATTTTGTAGATAAAGCACATACATTCTTGGCTGCCGCGAAATTCTCTAGCAATTTCTAAATTTTGAAAATTTGGCAATTGTGGCTACGCAAAAATACGGTTTTTACCATATTGAAGTAGGTAATTTTGAATTACTTAAGTTAAAGTGTTCGTTTGAAAAAGTCTGCAGTAATTTTTATATTTTCTCAGAAACCCTAAACTCTAAATTTTTCGATTACCAAAAACAATTTTGTCTCCACAGCCAGCACATACCTTCTTTCGATTTTCTTCACGGCTTAACTTGAATTTCGGTTTAATTTTCATTTTAAAATACTATTTTTAACTTTATAAAGTATACATTAAATAAACAACTAAAGCAAAATGTCACTTGCGTTATAAGGTATAGCATTTTTTTCATAATCACCTTAATTATTGTTTTACAAAATTTGCAAGTTGTAATTATTTCATAGACAAACTTCCAGTACTTTTTGTTATAAAAAATATTTAAGATATAAATCTTCGTTTTTTTTGTTATATTTTGTTTTGAGTGGTAAAAAATAATAGGTGACTCAATAAATTAATACTGGGGAGTAAAGTAATTTAAATGATACAAAGTTTATTATTTTGCTTAATTTTATTAAAATTGTACAGGTAGTTTTAGTACAATAATTGCAAAATAATATATATATATATATATATATATATATATATATAAATAGAAAAACAAAAAAGTTTGCAAAACTTTAAAATAGGATCAGCTGGGATTTTGATAAATACATGTTAGTGTTACCAAAAGGCTCTATAATCAAAATATGCTATCAGTTTTGGTTGGCATTTTTGTTCGTCCTATACTAAGTTTTGACCACCGTGCTCAGTAAAAAGGCATTTTACGAAAAAAAAAAAATAAAATAAAAATTAAATACTTTTGTAAAAAAAAGATTAAATGAACTAATGTTTAAAACTTCAGGAAACTTAGTAAAAAAATCGTACTCTATAAAAAATACAGATTTAATTTAATAAGGCAATTATTTCCAATGAAAAAGTGGTAATCACTTTTATATTTAGAGAAGAAATTCTCACAGTACCATTTTTACAAATAAATAAATAAAAATTATTGTGTTCCATTGGAAATTTTAATTTATTTCCCCCCTCGAATAATTTAATTTTTATTTTAAGCCTAATTTCGTAAAATGCCCAACTTTGTTTTTATTTTTATTTTTTTCTTCACTGTGTTAAAAATGAAGAAATTTCATTTTTTTGAAATAACTTTTTTATTTCAAACGTATCGATTTGAAATTTGGACAAAATTTATATCTTACTAATGACAATTGATCCATGAAAAAATTTAATTTTTTAATTCTACATAAAATTCTGAGTAAAATGGCAATACCATACCCTATACCTAAAGTCAATATTTTTTTAGTTAATTTTTCAATCAAATATTTTAATTAATTTTTACATAATTCACAGAATTTTGCAGGTTTTATGATGAAATTTTAACTATAGGAAACAGTTATTATTATATATACCAATCGAAAGATTCTTTAATGTTCTATTTGATTATGTTAAAACATACAGAGTTTTACATTTATAATAAAAACTTTTTATTTATCGGGTAAATATTACTTTTCCCAGTTTGGAATTAAAATTGAAGCTTGCTTATCGAGTAAAAAATAAATTGAAGCTTGGTTATGGAGCAAAAAATAAAATTAATGTAGGTTATAATTTCTAACTTGCTGACACTGTCTATAATTATTATTTAGTTTATTCATTTCAATAAATTAATGTTTTGAGTTTATAGTACACATAAATTGAAACGCAATCATCATTTGCAACTTATAAACTGAACTGTCAAATTATCTTTCATGCTTCCAATGGAAGGTTACCATAGAGAAAAGTCTATGATGCCTACTATGATCAAAATTAGTGAAGTTGAAAAAATTTAAAATTTATAAATAAAACTAATTTTAGCCCCATGGATGCATCTATGGCGATTTAAAAAAAAAATATGTAAGAATTGTATGTTATATATAATATTTTATATGTAAAATATAATACATTATCTTATAAAACTAGATAAAAAAAATTGTAAACCCCGTTAGGCTCTTTGCAGGCCTAACTTAAAAATGGTGTCTCTCGTAGAAACATAATTTGCATGTAGAAGTTTATATATCAAATAATAGTTAATTATAATTATCAGTATATGTGATATACTCAAAATTATAAAACAAAGTTGCTTCTTCGCGAAGAAGCAACTTTGTTTTAACTTTTTAACCCTTAAAAATGGTAAAATTTTAAATTAAATTGTCCCCATTATGTTCTAAAAATCTAAAAAAAATAATAAGTGGATTTATTGCCACTAATAAGGTCTTCATTTAATCTTAATTTCAAATCGATACGTTTTTAAATAAAAATGGTATTACAAAATATCGAAATTTATCTATTTTTAACACATGTGTAGAGTGACTTAATTCCTGAAAACCACAGCGGTCAATGGATGAAATTTTTTTTTTAAATGTATCATTTACATGTAGAAACATTGAGGTTAAAATTCTGGCATCACTTGCAAACAAATGCCCAAAATTTGTTCGATTTTTACGCGAAACCTTAATTAAGGGACAGTGAAAAGAGTCATTTAATATGAAAACACCCAATGGTTTTAGATTTAGTTAAAAAAATTGGGGATGATCTTTTCGGCATCAAATATAAAAATACGCCACGGGCTGTTTTTGGTGTTTGATACCTAAAATATCATCCTCAGTTTTCATATGGAATTACTCTACATATAAACGTATACCCCTAGTTTTGCAAAATGTCCACTTATGTATAGAGGATAGACCTTAAAAAAAACTAAGAGAGAACAGACGGTAAAATATCTCGATAAGATCTGATCGTGATGTCGGCTTCGACATTGCCAATAAATTTCCACTTTTACTGGCTCGTATACTTTTATATCTGCTACTACTACACGCGCTTGTTGTTTTTATTATTTTCCGATATGTCATGATTTAAAGTATCCCTAAAAATTAGGTATCTGTTTTCATTCTCATTTTGTGGTTAAATCCCATTTTTCAAGAACAATGTATATTCACAATTTTATAGTAAAATATTCTCTTAAAGTTATTGAAGCATAAACTGGTTAAATTGTTTAATTTACATATAAATAAAATACTTGTAAACTTTATAAAATTGTTATTATAATAAGCTCATTAAAATGTACTGCAATTTTGTCAAGTCGAGCTAAAATATTCGGAATGGCGTAATTTTAAATTATAATTACTTTGTGATGTTTACAAACATATTTTTAATTAAAATATGTATGCATTTGAAAGTTATTAATTACAATAACTGCAAATAAAATACCATTTAAAAAAATTAATTATAATGTTTTATTGCAAATATTCGTTAAATTGGTTTAGTTTTGTTGAAGCCATTTAAAAGACATGTTGAATCGTCAGAAAAAAGAATATCTGCGAAAAAAATATCATTCCTGTTTAACATATCCAGCATTTGTTCGAAAAATTGCATTCTTTTATCAGAATCGTCGTCAATAAATTCTTGTACGCGTTGTAGTTTATATGGATGCATTTTTCGGCTTTTACACATTTTAAAACAGTCGAATAACACGTGCAACCTGACGCGTAGAAGTAGTTGGATCTTCTTGAAAAGATAATAAAATATTGACTTTCACATTTTTATCAATAAAATGAGGCTTCCTGCGTAATGGTTTATCGTGTCCATATTCACGAAATTCTGGGTGTTTTTTATTAAAAAGGTTTGCATCTTGCTCTTGTGATCTGCATATATCATCGTAACCAATCATCATTAATATTTCTGTTGTTCTGTTGTCGCATTTTATAACTGAAATATTAAGTGGTACAGCTAGTGAAGTAAACCAAAAAAATACGTTCTTTTAGAAAAAAAACAAAGGGGTTAAAGGAAAACGCTAACGGTTTATTCGAATTTGAAGTCATTGTAAAATTCGCTGGTTCATTGGAACCAGACGCTCCCATATCGGTACAGCTGCTGATAGTGCTGGAAGACGCCGACGCATTAGAACCTTGTATTTTTTCTGCAATTTGTATTTTGTTATGCACCGATTCTTCTAGGTATCCTTCTGCTACCGTCGATGACTTCCATCCTCCGTGACGCTTCAAAGTAGTCATGTTAGCCCCCGCATTGGCCAAAAGAGTCGCCAAAGACCTTATCAGGCAGTGACCGGTGTAGAGCGCTAGTTCCTTCAATTTCAAAAACATTGGAATTCTTGAAGGTATCTTCGACAACGTATTTATTCCCACACACTGGCTGGTACACCTCCCATTTTTGTAAAAAACAAAGAAAGCTGCTAGAACTAGTATTCTTTGGTCTCAAAGACATGTATTTTTTACACAAATTGATAGGGTTGATTGGAAATCCTTCTTCAAGTATGGTGAAACTTCTCAATTTCTTGGTTTTAGTGTCTGGCAAAACTACGTGAAAATATTTCTCTTTTGGCTTGAATATTTTCTATTTTCAAATTGACCAATTCATCGCATCTACAAGCACCGCTTCGTTCAAAAACTTCTCTATTTCAGGTAGTTCTAATGTCTTGGACTTCTTTGGTTTGTATCCCTTTGATTTCCTTTTCAAAAAGCTCGTTAGTTTGCCATATTTTGAAATGTCGATTTTTTTTAAAAAGGTGAATAGTCGAGCGAAGCATCGAGTATTTGGTCCATAGCGACGATGGGGCTAATTTTTTTGCAAATGTAAAAAATAAGTCAATAGAACATTTTCATCGATACCTTTTATCTTCCGTGAATTCATCCAAGACTGAAACATTTTGAACTCCTTGTCGTAAGCACAAAATCTGCATCGCTGCTTCTTCCTCTTCCGTAAGGATATCCTCAGGAACGTAATTTTCATGGGTTTCCTCCATTTTATATACGTTTTTTTCTTCAAAAAAGCTTCCCTTTTCTGCAGGAAAAACTGACAAGTGTCAACATTTATTTAAACATTTGCTAACAATGTATCATGCCCGTGGCAACCAAACAAACAACCTACTTTGACCAAAATGTAAAAAGTCACTGTCAAGTAATTCTGACATTTATAGGGTACTGAGACGCAAGTAACTTTGATTTGATTACAAAGCTTATTAATTACACTGTGATACAAAATTAAGGTTTGCGAAAGGGAATGGAATAAAACCAAAAGCAAATGAAAGTTAAAAGTTTCCACAAGAAAACCCTATCACGTCTCAGTTATTTTTTAGTATGCATTTAAAAATGGTAAATTTTTTGACACCCCATATTACGAAAAAATTAAGTAAAACTATGTAAATTTTTTAAAATAATTTTGGCAATTTGATCGAGGAATTCATTTGTGATTGTATTTTTACCATTTTTGAAGGTGAGAAATCCATTTTTGTCATCCGTTTGTTGTAAAATATACCCTAGGTAATATTCGAAAGCAATTTTTAATATTTTTGATATATTAGTATAAAAAACTTGTTTTTTTAAGGGAAAATAGCATTTTTACGAAAAAATAACTTTTTTAAATAAACAATTGACTTCTTAAACTAAACATTATTAAATTCGCTATTTTATTTATATTTAAAAACTATCACTGCTGTACATCTTTTAATAAAAAATAAAAAAAATACCTGGACTATTTCCCTCGTCTTAATTTCGACCAATCACAAACGCGCAATTTTAAATTACAAATGGTTTCTAGGTGAAAAAACTGTATGACAGCACCTGTCAGCAGTTTTTTCGAGTTTACCCGCGGCAAAACTTGACAGCTGTTGTCAACAAAAATTGTAATTTATATTATAATTGTTTACTGTTACTCATGAAATAGTCTTGTCAAATACTATTCGGGCATCTAATTTTTCCTGTGAAAAAAATCGAAAAAACACAATGCTAAGTAATATTTTTTATCAAAATGCATTCGTGCAGGTGCAAAAATCCTCCTCTTCGACTCGGATTTTTGTTGCCACCAGCACTCATGCTTTTTGTTAAAATATTACTTAGCAACGTGTTTTTTCGATTTTTTTTCGGAAAAATTAAATGCCCTTATGATATTACTTACGATAATACCACAACATGGGGCACCAAATTTCATTGTGAATTTGTGACCATTTAATTAAATTGTTATTACAAGTTCTGCAAACTTTTCTAGGCACCTAATTAACATTTTCAATTATATATATTCCGTAATATTGTAGGTACAATTGTTTTACATTATCATAATTTGGAACTAAGTTTTGTTTTCCATTATATTGTTCACAAATACAGCAAATAGTTATTTATGTCATTAGGTTAAGAAGTAAGGCTTTTTGTGCTAAGCTCAAAGTTTGAAGGCCGACGCGTAGCGGAGGCCTACAATTGAGCGAAGCACAAAAAGACACTTCTTGGCCGAATGGCATACAACATTTTATCTTCAAAGCACTTTATATAGGTCAATTTAATTCAACATGAAAGCGACCTAACCTCACTTTTTTAGAACCTCATTTATTTATCAGCTAAAGATTACATTAAATGTACAATAATTATTATTCCTTTTAGAAGCAGTAATAGTTTGACAATACCTAGCTTCATGATTTAAGTAGAAATGGATTTTTGTAAGACAATGGTTTACTTACCCTCTTGCTATTACATTGAATTCAATTAATTGTTTAATAAATAGGTATCTAATTTCAATTTGTTTGTATTTTTATTAAAGAAATAGGTAGTTTGGAATGTTTACGCTGTGTTTAACATTTAATTTCACTGAAAACTTAAAGCAAATTAAAATTTAAAGATAATTTAAATCGTAGAAATAGAAAACAACTGGGAAATCCACAGAAACGTCAAATTGCAATGTCCTAACCACACTTTTTGTTTTATTATTCATATTTAATTTTACAATAATTTAATGAAAAATATTAAACATTATAATGTTATAACAGTAAAACAAACAAATTAGTGCTTATTATAAATAAATTAAACCAGTTTAGTACGTTAATTTCTTAGAAAAGGATTAATTTGTCAAAACAATACCCCTAGCGAGAAAAAATCGAACTAATTACTTGCCTCATAAAAATTTTTATCGGCCTAGGCCATAACAAGGTATTTCTTTATCGAATGTTGACAACAATAAAGTTTAAATTATAGACCGCGTGGAGATAAAATATTTTAAATGCTTCAAACATTCATTAATTTTTAACTTTAATAAGTTTAATTAATTAAATTTTAATGTTGCTGTCACTGATTTACTTTGTGTTTTTAAGTAAAAAAATCAATTTTACCTTTAAACAACGTCGTTTTTGCTACAAAAACCACAATTTTTTGTAGTAATAATTGTATTGTTTTTAGGCATAAATAAATTTACGCATTTAAAAATAATAACAAGTTTTTTGGTTAAAGCATTAAAGAGAATATTTTTTTTATAAAAATGCCAAATTTTCTAGTTAAAATGCTCTTTACGTCAAAAAATATGTTTCTATACTAATATATCAATAATAATAAATATTGCTTTGGAATATCATCAACAAAAATGGATTTCTCAGCCTCAAAAATAATAATAATAATAACTACAGCGCCCCCTACTGTAGATCTTAAATAAAAATTAACATAAAAAATGGATTCCTTGACTATATTGCCAGAATAATTTTGAAAAAATAAAATTGTTTTATCTACGCCAGTGAGATAAGAACTTCTTATGCCACTCATTTTGAGTGAGATAAGAAGTTCATTAACGCACTCGTTTTTCTCTGCTTTTAACCAATCAAATAAAAAAGTCAAAATGTCAAAATGTCAAAATAACCCTAAATTAAGTCTTAGACAAAAATAATTACCGTTCATTTTTTCATTTAGAGGCGTAGATAAAAATTTGTACAATATACCTACGTCTGATAACGCTTTATTAACGTACTTTTGCGATTGCCCAACTCGTGCTACGCACTCGTTGGGCAAATTTCGCATGCGTACGTTAATAAAGCTCTTATCCCACTTATATCGTAAATAACTATTACCTACTTAATTTTACTTACTTACTATAGGGCGTCCAAAAATCTACCAACTTTAAATGCGTATAATAAACAACTGAGATGTGATCTAAAAAAACCTAGTAGGGTTTTGTTCTAGAAGCTGTTACCTTTTATTTGCATTTGGTTTCATCCCATTCCCTTTTGCACTGTTGCACTGTGTTATTATCTAAAAAAAACGATTTCTTCCACTTGTTGTATAAAACATTGTATGCCACTCGTGTGTTATGTTTCCTAAGTCACTTGAGAATAGTGATGTAAAAAAACGTTTTTTTTTTCAAATTTGAAAAAAAAAACGTTTAAAAAAACATGTTTTTTTTCAAATTATAAAAAAACTTGCACACCGTTTTTTTTTGTTTTTTCAAATTATAAAAAACAGTTTTATAATAATTAAAAAAGCGTTCGTTTTTTTGTTTTATAAAAAATTTACAAAACAATGTATGACAAGTGTCGCCATTTGTTATTAACAGATCGCTTTAATCATAGAAATGATTATCTTCAATATCGATGCGCTAAAAATTAAACTGAAAACTTTTCTGTACACGATACTGACACGTCGGAGGGGCCAGAAGAATTTGACGTTGATTCTATTATAGAGATTTTTAATTTTAAATATTCATTGACATGTAAGATTTAAATTCTGCCTATTTTTTTTATAAATAAAAACTATTTCAGTTAAGTTTTTGTTTTAACACTCTATTATAAATAACGATTACCCATTTTAAAGTTTCAAAAATTTTCTGCTTTAAGCTTACTCTTTTCCCTTATAATCTCTATTAAGGAAAAAACAATGTTTCTGAAAAAAAACAACATTTTTAAAAAAAAACAAACCCCTTTGTTTTTTTTTCTAAAAAAACATGTTTAAAAAAAAACAAAACGTTTTTTTTCTGCTTACATCACTACTTGAGAATTTATACCACTCGGCCTGACGGCCTCGTGGTATAAATCTTTCTCGCGTGACCTATTTTCAACACACTATACTATAGTACCATAAATAACTATTAATATATATTCGTAAAAAATATTGTAAATAAAAGTCTTACATTGGAATCTCATTCTTGTACTCTTTCCAAGGTACGGGGTGGCTCTCGTGGGGGTCAGGCCCGCCGAGCTGCCGGAGTTCTACGAGGACACGATCCTGCTGAACCCCGGGCCGCGGCACATCATGAAGAAGAGCGACACCTGCTACTACATGAGCATCACCAAGGAGGAGAACTCCTCGTTCAGCGTCGCCAACCCCAACAACGCGGCCACGACCGGAAGCAACGCGGCCGAGCCCGTCGTCGTGACGCACGGCGGCCGCGCGGAGGAGAAGCGGCCCCCTCCGCCCCAAACAAAAGACGGTACCGGCCCCCCTCAACTTATTCTGCAAGTTCCCACCTGTGTCAGTGAGTGTTGTCGCGCATGATTTTGGCAAGTTTTATTTTATTTTTTTTTGATTTTTTTTTTTGGAGTTTGGAAGTAGAGCAGCTCTTTCTATTTTTGACTGATTTTTTGGTGCCATAACTGACTGAAATTGAATTGATTGAAACGTTAAGTAAAGTTAATAGAATTACAACATTTCGAGTAGATTTTAAAAAATCGTTAAATAAAAAAAAATTATTAAAAATCCTTTGATAATTATTATAAAACAACAAAATTAAATATATTTAGAAAAACTGGAAAAAATCTTTAGAACAAAAAATGCGGAGTTTGAAATTTTTAACATATTTGTTTTAAAGCAAATTTAAATCATAAAAAGAAAGGTAAGGCCAAACTTAACATAGGTATATTGTTTTTTTTATATTTTAACCCTCTTAAATTGATTAAAACTAAAAATGCTAAATAAAAAAGTTTTAGATATTAAAAATATCTATAAAAAATATAAAAGGTTTTAATATCATTTGGTCCGCTTTTTCCGAGTTACAACTGCTCAAACAAGATTATTTTTTTGCCATTAATAATTTAATTATATATATTTTATAATATAATTTTTTTGGAATATTAAATTTTTAGAAAATTGTTGAAAAAATTTGAAAAATAAATAAGTACAGGGTGTCCCATAATTAGCATGCAATACTTTAACAGCAGATTTCATATAAACGTAGGTGGGTGAATATATTGAGATGTCCCCCAAGTGAAAATGATTATTTTTTATTTTTGGTTGTTTCACTGTTAGTCTAGAATGGGGTTTTTGGGATGCCACCAGGTCTAGTAATCTAGTAATAAAATAAGTGGTTCTGCACTAATTCAAGAATTTTAAGAAATCATAAATTTTGAATATTTAAGCTTCACGGAGGTTAGGATTTCGTATGTTTTTTAAACACCCCTTTGTATATTTGAAATAATCCTTTGATAATTATTATAAAACAACAAAATTAAATATATTTAGAAAAACTGGAAAAAATCTTTAGAACAAAAAATTTTTAACATATTTGTTTTAAAGCATAACATTTAAATCATATAAAGGAAGGTAGGGCTAAACTTAACATATATTAGTTTTTTTATATTTTGACCCTCTAAAATTGATTAAAACTAAAAATGCTAAATAAAAAAGATTTAGATATTAAAAATATCTATAAAAAATATAATAGGTTTTAATATCATTTGGTCCACCGTTTCCGATTTACAACTGCTCAAACAAGATTATTTTGTTTGCCATAAATAATTTAAAAAATGGTATATTTATCAAAATAATCATTTTCACTTGGGTGACATCTCAATATATTCACCCACCTATGTTTATAGGAACTTTTTTTCTTATTTTTGTACGAAAAATCTGCTGTTAAAGTATTGCACACTAGATATGGGACACCCTGTATTTTATTTATTTTTCATTTTTTTTTCAACAATTTTCTGAAAATTTAATATTCACAAAATATTTGTCAATTTTAGTTTTTATGGATTTTTTTAATAATCTGATCAGATTATTAAAAAAATCCATAAAAACTAAAATTGACAAATATTTTGTAAATATTAAATTTTCAGAAAATTGTTGAAAAAAAAATGAAAAATAAATAAAATACAGGGTGTCCCATATCTAGTGTGCAATACTTTAACAGCAGATTTTTCGTACAAAAATAAGAAAAAAAGTTCCTATAAACATAGGTGGGTGAATATATTGAGATGTCCCCCAAGTGAAAATGATTATTTTTTATATTTGGTTGTTTCACTGTCTAGAATGGGATTTTTGGGAAGCCACCAGGTCTAGTAATCTATTAATAACATAACCTAAGTGGTTCTGCACTAATGCAAGAATTTTAAAAAATCATACATTTTGAATATTCAACCTTCACGGAGGTTAGAATTTCGTATGTTTTTTTTTTAAACATCCCTTTGTATATTTGAAATAAGTTATTGTATCTTTTGACACCATAATAATTTTTTAAAAATACATTTTTTTAATTTTTAATAATATTTTATATTTGATTCGATTGCTTTGGACGTGTTAAATTTACTTAGTGAACTGATATTTTTATTATGCTTTTACTATCTCAGATATTTAAAAACATATAGGTTAACCCAGAAAGAGTAACAGTCACGGAGGATAGGTTTTAGACTTTTAAAACATTGTAAAAAATAATTAATTGCGGTTAAAAATCTGGAACCTGAGCTGTAATATCTACTTAATTATAAAAGATCAAAACACAATAAAAGTGTAGGTCAAACTCATTTAGTTTTATTAAATATCACGGGGTAACACCATCGGGGGACATTTCGTAAGATTCACCCACATAATATATATTATATATTTTTTAAATGAACACAGAAAAAAGATGTTTTAATTGAAGAAACAATAATTGTTTAATTTTTTTTCATTACATTTAAAAATAATATTATTTTATTTTAAATAACATGTTTAAAAAGAAAAAAATTACTTTATTTAAAAGGAAAAAGTAAATTATAAAAATATATATGAAAAATAAAACTTTTATCTTTAAATTGCATTTAGGTAATCTATTTGAATAAAAGTTGATTTCTTTAAAATATAAAAACAACTTACTTCTTTTAAAAAATTGTAAGGTTTAAATTAAAATGACAACAATTAATTTAAAAGAAATACGGTCCGCCATTTTAAATTTTATAATTTTGATATCAAATTCTTGATCAACGACCTCAAAACCCCAAAAATTTACATTTTTTCGGGCTAAACTTTAAATTTGATAATTTTGATATCAAATTCGTGATCAGCGACCCCAAAAACCTCAACTTATCAATTTTCACATTATTACAGTTTTGGCCCAAGAATGAGTCGATTCGTACCAATGTGCGGAATAACAAAGATATATCAAAGGTTTTCAGCTTTTTTTTTAATATTTTCCAATTTTTTAATTTTATTTTAATATGCTTGTATTTTCTCTTTAAATAAAAAATATGCCCATACATAGATGAATAATAATTATTGGTATACCACCAAGAATTAAATCTACATAATATCAAATATTATTCAAGTTAAGGTTAGAGCATGCCGTTCCGGGCATAAAATTAAATTTGCCCGTAAAATTTTTGCGTCATAAATATTCCCCAGTAAAAATTGTTATTGGAACATTTGTCGTTAAATCAATTTAACGAGATGCCGCCGTTATTAAACGGCGAACTGTAACCAATCTTACGCGCGATAAATTCCTAATTGCCTATGGATTACCACGTTAAGATTTTATTGTTTCAGTCATTTAGGCGCATCAGTTTTACTACTTTCTACCCTTTTAAGTGTCTACTACTATTACTATTTTTTTTACTGATTTTTTCTACCTTCCACTCAACGCTGCTCAACATAATTCGTTCAAAAAAATTGCTTCTGTGTTTGGTACATAGATAATTTTGGTATTAATCATTTTAAAATACTTATTTGTTTAAATATTATAATATACAGGGTGGCCTATCGAAAACATTCCACCAATGATTACACATTATTTTCCCTTAGCAGGAGCGGCATTCACCCTTATTTTTTTCAAATGAGAAGGGATTTGTTGTGATACATGACAATGGTCACATTTTCAACCTACTGTTGGGTATTGGGTAGTATTCTTTTAAATAATTGCAATGCATTAAAACAAATTATAGTTAAATAGTTAAATAGTTAAAAATTTGTTGATCAGTTCTATATGGCAGCAACAGTGGCAGTTTTATGTTTAAATGTATTATATTGGGACCATTTCCTTTTTACACATACGTATTTATTATACAGGGTCTCTATTTACAAACGAGCAATGCCCTATATTCGGGACTAACATAAATATAAAAAAATTCCTATGACACAAAAATGAGCTTTACTAAGCAACCCCTGGGGCTGTAATTGTTTAACAATAATCAAAACAATTTCATTTTTATCTTTTTACATTAAATGTTTAAAATGATTTTCAATATTTTATAAGCAATTCTCAAATTTCTTTCGAACATTTTGTGGTCCTAAAAATGTCTCATGGTCTCAGATCTGGAGATCTAGGAGGTCATTATATTGGTTCTGTTCTGGATAATTCTGATCCAGTAACTGCATAATGAAGTTATGCCCTATCTCGCTGAAAATATAATAAATTTTCTTCCAAAGCTAGTTTCTTATCCTCTTAAGAGAATTCTCTTTAACTTTCTAGTTTATGTATTATTAGTGGCTGTACTCTCTAAAAATGAATTAGTCAAAAATGACTAATTGTTATAACGAAAAACCAGCCTCTTATAATTCTCGTCAACAGCCATTTATATTTCGGACATTTAGCAGTTAATTCCTATGTTAAATTGTACGCTGATTCCGAAAATGTCACAAACTAATCTGTACACTTTTTAAAAAGTTTACAGGTCAGTGTGTGGTATAAATGTGTTCCTCATGGTTTAAACATTGTCACTTTAATGCGTTTTAATTTTAATTCTAAAAACAAACAGTAAAATGGCCAGTGTCCAATTACTTGTTGGTCAAAAATGTAAATTTCTATTATTGGACATATGTCCAATATCATACTTTATTTGTATCCAGGACATTTACCAGCCAATTCTTATGTAAAATTGTCCCCTGAATCCGAAAAGACCGTCAAAAACTATAAGAGTTTTTGAGATATAGTCAATTCTATATTATATGTAAAATTGATTATATTTCAAAAACTGTTCTACTTTTATAACTTTTGACGACATTTTCGGATTCAGCGAATATTATTTTATAGGAATTGACTGCTAAATGTCCTGGATACAAATTGCTGTTGACGAGAATATTATTGGCTGATTTTTCGCTGTGACATTTTTGACTAATTCATTTTTAGAGAGTAAGTAATATAGTGATTTCTTCGTCACATGACATCAGCAGAATAACAGTGATTTAAATACAGTGCATGATAGAGAACATAAAAAACTAATGGCAACAAAATTAATAAATTCGGAAAATACTTTTAACATACCACCCAAAAAAATATTAGATATATATATATATAAATCATCCTGTTCCGGCTTCACAAACTAGAGATACCACAATTAATGATATTTGCAACAAACTATTTCAGAAGTCAGACCAAGGAATTAGTAGTTACCTTCAGAATCTAGAAAAGGGATGAGGAATCCGAGAAAGAAATATATGAATTATATGATATTTACAAAAAAAAAATTAACTAAACCAGCAATTTATCTTAAAAAAATATTTAACAATTTATATTATTTGATGTAAAGTTGTTATGTTTATATAAAAATGATATGTCCAATAACTATGGTCCATGTGTCCAATTACTATAGATACTTTTTTGCATATTTTTATAAAACTATTATTAAAAATTCAAATAGTCTTATTTTTAAATAAACGTAAATAAAGTTTAAACAAAGAAACTACCCTTTTTATTTATTCATAAGAAAAACACTAAATCTTTAAAACAACGGCATATATAAATTTTAAATAAATAATATTTCTTAAGTGTCCAATAACTATGTGGTTTACTCATTTTTAGAGAATATTTTTTCATCCAAGATTTTAAAACAAATTTTATCATTTAAATTTTGGTCAACAAATAAGGGATCCCAGGATACTGGGTATGATTTTCTGATGCGATTAGGATTTTCACTGCTACAATAACGACAGTTTTTGCTCGTTTTTAAATAGATAGCCTGTTAAAGTACGGGAAAATTAATATGTACATAATAGTAGAACAGCCTCATTACGTCCAATTTATATTTTTAGACCAAAAAAGGTGAGTTTTAAGAGCCAACTGTAATAGAATAATTACATTTACATTTTTAATGTCACCATCACAAAGGTACGCCGGCTTATTTTAAATCCGGTTTAATTAAATAAGATTTTTAATTTTTAAGACGTTACAAATTTAATAAAGGTTTATTGCTTGCTTATGGCGCGCCGTTTAATTTTTTATTCAGGAATACAGAACAAAAAACTAAGATAGCATGCTGAAAATTTATGTTTATAACGTGGTAAAATAAACTTGTCTGGAATAGTTTTTTTGATGAAATTAAGTTCGTATCTACCCATTCTGAAGTATGCCGCGTACTTATTTTTCTCCTAAACTTCCTAAATGTTTTTTATTTTGCGTTATAAATATTAAAAAAAAATAGTTCGTTTTTAATAAAATTTGGTTTGTACTTATTTTGAAGCATGCCGCATTCAGTGGCGCACTTTTTTTTTCGAAAAAACGACCCTAATAAGTTTTCCGAATTTTGACATGGAAAGAATGTTATAGTAGGCATCTGTGTCAAGTGACATTGACATTTTTTTTAAAGCTTAGATAGAGTATTTTATTTTCTATGTTTCGAGCTTTTGTTCATTAAAATCGAGTAACAAATAAAAAAGTTACAGGGGTGTTTCCATCTTAAATGGGCCACACTGTATATATATATATATATATACAGTGTGTTCACGGATGGACTTAACTATACTTGTAAAAATATTTTTTTTTTCAATCTTTCAAGGAAAAGTTATTTATATAACAAGCAGAAGAAATTATGAGGAGTGACTTTTCTTCGAAAAATTGAAAATAAATATTTTTACAAGAATAGTTAAGTCAATCCGTGGACACACTGAATATATAAAAGCAAATATTTTAAATTAACTTAATTAAAAATATCAGTTTGGCATAATATACAATATATAATATTTTTATCTAATTATAAATATCACTTTAGTGTTATGTTTTAAGTTAAAACTTTTAACACATAAAAATAATTCCTGACTAAAAAATAAAACGGCGCCCCATACTTGTTTCGGATTTTTAATAGCGGCGTTGCCTACACTTATGTAGATGCATTTGCATCAAGCTTTTTAAGATCATTGACAGAAAATTTTCACTGCTTTTTTATTCAATATTACTTCAATAATAATTTCATACGCGTACGCAGCTTCTGTTGAAATACCTAATTGTTTTATAAAGTTAATATGGCTTTAAGTGTCCAGCACAGCCTTTAATGATGTTGTTTTGAGGGTGTTTTAAAGGTGAAATAATATAATTTTAAAAATCCTTTTAAAACACCCATCGGGGTAAATTTACATTAAAAATTAATACCAATAGTAGTGTAGTTTGGCTCACTAAAAGCAAAAATCAAACATACAATTTTTTTCATGGAAGCGTTTTCGAGATATGAATTTTCAATTGTTTTTTTTTTTAATTTTCTGAGGTGTTTTGACGTTTTAAAATATACTTCGAGTTCTAATTGATCAATTTGACCAAACAAGCACTTAAATTAAAGGTAATTAAGCCCTCTACAACTTTCTCTTGTATAGTTTTGGTATCGGCTCAGTAGTTCGATACTGGCGATTTTATGAAGTTGAAAAAGTCCTTTTTTTACAAAAATCGACGTCGAAAATTTACATATCTTTCTGGGAAAGATGGAAATCAATAAGATAAGTCCAGTTTGATTTATTTTACGTATAGATTATACTTAAAGGAAAAAATAAGCTGCTGTTGATAAAAATCCATGGATAAATGGCGAAGTTATGAATTTTTCAGTGGATGATCAAAATTCAGTTTTTCGAGAATTTTTACGTTTTTTCTTCATTTTATTGAATTATATTAAATATTGAACAATTAATATTGAACATTGAAGATTTTGAAAGTTTTATTTTGTTGTAATAAGCATAGGTTTAAAAAAATTCCTTCTTTGTTTTTTGTTGCTTTCGTATTCCGTTTCTCATATGAGGGACCAAATGTAATCAACCATTATGGCTGCATCCCAGAAGCCGTGATACCGCCGCTTCATAGCCTTCATTTGCTGGTGAAAACGTTCTCCGTGCTCATCACTTACGTCGCCCAGATTGTCCGGGTTATTTAAGCACTCGAACTCTCCACTTCTTTTACTCATTTTGCACTTTTTATTAACTAAATAAAACCATGATAAAAATACCTTGTTGAAATATCAAAAATTAGCAGTAAAATGTCGCTATGCCAAAACGAGAAACAAAAGAATTCACGTTTGCGGAGTCATGTCAAATTTAAATTTTTAATAATGTTTTCGGTGAAAAAAATACGTAAAAAATTCCAATGATGCACTTTAATTAGGTTTTCATTAAATAATAAACATATTAGAAAATAAAATAATAAAAATAAAATAAAAATCGTCAAAAAGCTGAATTTTGGTCTTCCACTAAAAAATCATCAACATTAGCTATTTTTGTAAAAATATTAGCTTCACTGGAGTTATCTGTTTGATTTAAACCTTTCCCAGGACTATATGTAAATTTTCGAACTCAATTTTTGCCATAAAAACGAATTTTTCATGTTATTAAAATCGCTAGTGTCAAAATACTTATCCGATATCAATATTAATATATTAATATTAATATATTTATTTCATGTCATAATATTACAGATATTCTACACAAGTCAAAAAAGAATTTAAAAGTACATGATAAAAAACATACTGAGATAAAATATAAATAAAAGTTTGTAGATTAAATAGGTAACACATTAAACAATATTATAAAATACTTAAAATTACTTAAAATTAAAAAAAAACAGTTAACAATACTAAAAATCCATAAAGTCACTTCGGAACATGTCCTCAGTATTATAAAATGCATTAACACAAAGATAACTCTTAACAGATATTTTAAACGATTTAAAATCCAGTGCCCTTACGTAAAGAGGTAAAGCATTGAAAAATTTTATACAATAATAATTAGTGGAACTTTGTGATCTTTTGAGTCTTAAATTTTTTAGATAAAGATTAGACTTATTTCTTGTTTCATAATTATGTTCGAGTGGATAATAGTTATTGATATTTTTCTTTATATAGATTAAACATTCGAGTATATACACTGGGAAAAGTTAACAAGTTTAATTGTATATAGGATCCTTTAAAGTCATCACGATATCCTAAACCAGCTATAATCCTTTGTAAACTAAAAATTCTTGTCTTAATGGTTGAGTGGCCCCTTGAAAGAATACCATACCTTAATATTGATTCTATTAAAGAAAAATAGGCTATTCTAAGATATCTTAGCGATAGTTTATTTGATAAACTACGCAGCAAATATATATTAGAGTTGAGTTTATCAGCAATCGCCTCTCCTTGACTAAACCAAAGAAGACGCGAGTCCAAATAAACTCCCAGAAACTTTGTACTGGAGGCTTCAGAGTTAAAGCCTCTCAACGAAAAAATAACATTTACCGTCTATCAAAATTAGATTTCAAGCTATATTCAAAAACGTCAAAACACCTCCGAAAACTGAAAAAAAAACAATTGAAAATTCATATTTCAAAAACGCTTCCATAACAAAAAATTGAGTGTGATTTTCGTGTATAGTGGGTCAAAATACATGGGAAAATTATAATGGGATATGGTGGGAAGAATTTTTTTTCGATTTTGTAAACTGGTGTAATTAATGTAAATTTAACCTTCATGAAAAAAACAAAAACAAAAAAATATTTACATTTTTTCTTGTTTTATTTTTCCCTCCAAAAGCAACGTTCCCAGACGGAGGCGGTGTAAGCGACTCTCGGCAATGCCTCAAAGAATCCTCCCCTGGATCCATAACGTTCGACGTGTCGATAACAGGCAACCACCTGGACATCCCCAGGGGCGACAACCCAAATCTTCTGAGCCCCGAAACGATAAACCAACGAAGGTAAGGATTGCATACCTATTTGAAATAAATTTTAAATAAGAACACTGTGCCAAAAAAAGAGATTTAAAGTTAAAGGGGTTGTTTGTCCATTTACTGTAAAACTCGGCAACAGCGCACAGTGTTATTTTTATTAAATCACAATATTTTTTATAAAAAATATTGTGATTTAACTACGGTCGATTTTCAAGAAATCGATTGAAACTTTTTTACCTTATTGACAACTTTGTTTTTTTTTTCACTGTGTTAAAAATGAAGAAATTTAATTTTTTTAAATAAATTTTTAACAATTTTTAAAGGGTAAATAATCAAAGAAGCAACTTTGTTTTATAAATTTGAGTATAACGCGTTATGTATTAACTTTTTTATGCAAATGAAGGTTCTGTGGCCAGGATCAGTTTTGAATTAGCAGTATCAGTATTCATAAATGTTTAGTTTAGTACATTTTGTCATTTTTATACAAATATTGTTGTATCTTTTATTAATAATTAAGTATAGCATAACACATAAATTACGTTTAATATACAGAGTGTTTCACGTACGTAGTCCGTTAGAAGTTTCTAGGGAATCGCGAAAGACATCGATTTAAAATTTTAATAGCGTAAATTATTCGCTTTAGACTTTTTCCTAAATTATTTTGAACAAAATAATACTTCATGTTTTACCGGAAATGTATTTAACTTTGTTATTTTAAACAGGACACCTCATATATTTTAAAAATTATTATTATTATTATTATTTTCACATTTTTGAATTCTACATAAAATTCTAAGTAAAATGGCTATACCATAACTAAAGTCAATATTTTTTGAGCTATTAATTTTCAATCAAATATTTTAATTAATTTTAAACAATGACAGATGTGGTGGTAACCATGGATACTGTCACATTAAACCACATGTAGAATTTCACAGGTTTTTTGATACAAAATAGTATTGAAAATATTAGAAATTGATTATGGTAAAACATGCAAGGTTTAACATTTATAATAAAAACGTTATTATTTTTTGAAGTTTGCATAATTTCATGTGGTTTTTCTTAAGGTATTTGTTGAAAAACCTTTAAAAAATTAAATTATTTAAACAATCTTTTAATATTCCAAAAATTCCAACCTCACGTCAGCAAACATAATAACAAAAAAATTAGAGGCTATTTTTGATTATTGCATTTAGCAAAATTTTAACGAAAAAAAATAATATCTTGAAAACTATTGACTTAAGGTACCTATAGTCTAAATCAAATCCATATCGTTTGCGTTTTTCCAGAAACACCCTGTATAGCATTATATTTAATATAAAAAAATGCAAAATAACTAATTACAAAAAATCGAAAACAACTGAATAAAAAATATAGATATATCTAAATAGCCGATTGCAACATAAAAAATAAAGTCTTAATTCTAATTTATTTATTGGGTAAATATTACTTTCCTCAGTTTGGAATTAAAATTGAAGCTTGCTTATCGAGTAAAAAATAAATTGAAGCTTGGTTGTGGAGCAAAGAATAAAATTAAAGTAGGTTGTAATTTCTAACTTGCTGACACTGTCTATAATTATTATTTAGTTTATTCATTTTAATAAATTAATGTTTTGAGTTTATAGTACACTTGAAACGCAATCAGTCATTTGCAACTTATAAACTAAACTGTCAAATTACCTTTTATGCTTCCAATGGTAGATTATGGTAGATTGATGCCTACTATGATCAAAATTAGAAAACTTGAAAAAATTTAAAATTTATTAATAAAACTAATTTTAGCTCCATCTATGGCGAATATGTAAGAATTGTATGTTATATATAATATATTATATGTATGTTAAAACCTAAAAAAAATAATATGTGAATTTATTGCCACTAATAAGGTCTACATTTTTTCTTAATTTCAAATCGATACGTTTTTAAATAAAAATGTTATTACAAATTATTTTTAACACAGTAGAGTGACTTAAGGCCTGAAAACCACAGCGGTCAATGGATGAAATTATTTTTTTGAAAAAAATTTACCATTTAGATGGAGAAACAAGGTTAAAAAAATATCTTCAATTCTGGCATCACTTGCAAACAAATGTCCAAAAGTTAATAAAAATAACACTGTGCGCTGTTGCCATATAGGGCAAGGTTTTCGAGATATAATTTTTTATTTTTTTTTACTTTCGAAAAACATAGGTATAACATAGATATAATTTTTTATTTTTTTTTACTTTCGAAAAACATAGGTAGGTACTATGTTCCACACCTCAAAGTCCCACCACGTGACCACGTACGGAACGCAGTCTTTTGAAAATTTGGCATTTAAGGCTTTTCAGGTTATGTATCTGTCAAAGTATAGTCAATGAAGGAAATAATATTTATAGTGTTACCGCTTATGTTTAAGCGTTAAAAGTTAATAAATCTTTATAGTATCACAATAACAATGGTTGGTTTAAGAAATTTAGGAATATAAATACTCCATTTAATGAAATTCCAAAGTGTAAGGTGCAATATAAGTGATATTTTTGTTCATTGGGTCTACATTTCTCCCTAAAATAGTTTTAACTAAACAGCATTTATTTAAAAAAATCTAACTTTTCTATTATGAAATAAGAATATCTGTATTAAAGGTAGGTTAATGTATTGGAACAAAAAATATCATCTAATTTTGTATTTTAAGGTCAGAAAAATCTATTTTGACCAAAATAAATAAGTGGATTATTTGGAAGAGTGTGTTAATATGGTCATAAATAAATATAAGTATACTAAATAATTGTTGAATATGGATCAAATTAAATTGAAGCTTTTATACTTCTAATGACAAAACTTGTGCATACCTCTCGGCATACCTACTTTAAGTTAGATTATAAGAAAACAAACAATTTTTAGAGAAACTTGCAATTTGAAAATATTTAATACTCCCATGACATTGTATTTATTAAAATTTTTAAAGTTATAATGATTTTTCGATGTAGATCAAGTTCAGTCGCAGCTTTTTAACTTTTTGTATTGACAAAACTTTATGTAGGTACACTTTAAGCTGGATAAAAAAACTACCACATTTTTAAATACCATATTATACAGTCTTTTAAATAATCCAAAATACTTATTTATTTTGGTCAAAATAAATTTTTCTAACCTTAAAATTACAAGATTAGATGATATTTTTGTTATAATATATTAACCTACCTTTAAAACAGATATTCTTATTCCATAATAGAGAAGCTAGATTTTTTTAATAAATGCTGTTTAGTTAAAATTATTTTATGGAGAAAACCAGATATTTAGACCAAATGCACAAAAATATTACTTATTTGGTTTCATTAAATGCAGTATTTATATTCTTAAATTCTTAAACCATCCATTGTTATTGTAATGTTATAAAGATTTAAACATTTTTAACGCCTAAACATAATATTATTTTTTTCGTTGACTATACTTTGACAGGTACATAACCTGAAAAGCCTTAAATGCCAAATTTTTAAAAGACTGCGTTCCGTACGTGGTCACGTGGTGGAACTTTGAGGTGTGGAGCATAGTACATGTATTTTCATTTACATGTTACTTATTTTGTTGAAGAAACTCCCGAAGACCCAGCATTCTGCCGGTCCCAGACATGATAACATCGAGCACTTTGAACATATCTCAGGACACTGGCGACGAAGGTGACGAAAGCGACGACGAATTGGAGGACGACGTTCCTTGGCGCTCGCCCAGCGAAAAAATAGCGTAAGTTGGTAGCACTGTGCCGGTGACTTGGTGTTTAATGTTTAATGATAATGGATTGTTGCGAACGATTGTTATCATTAGCACTTCGGTAATTAGCCAATTAACATTTATTAAGGTATGCTATTAACGATGATTAGTTTTGGTATTTTTGTTATGGACAGAAAGTTCTGGGTTTCTGCGAGTAATAATTATAATAGGAGGTCTTTTAAAAGTTTATTTAAAAATATTAGTAGCTCAAAAGCTCAAAATTTAATGCTTTAAAATCTTAAAATCTTTAGCTTTAAAATCTTAAAAGTTTTTTTCATTGGATTATATATGTTTTGTTTCAAATATTATTTCTAAGATTAAATTTTTTTTTAATTTTATATTTAACAAAATTTTTAAAATTCAAATTCAAAATTTTAAGTTTGACAGCTCAAAAAAGGATTTTGAAGTTCAAGCTTTTTTTAAGCTCTTGAACTTTTAAGCTTTTGAGCTTTTAGCTTTTTTGAAGCACTGAAGCCTTTTAAAAATTCTTTGGATTTTGGAAATATGAAATATTATTTAAAACAATATTCAATGAAAAATAAGCTTTTAAGATTTTGATTTTTAATAAATTTTTATACTTTTTTTGGATCTCAAACAATTTGTTTAAATTTGATTAAAAAAAATTGTAAAATTTGAATTTTATAAAAAATTTAATATTATAAACAAAATATGTAAAGCTTTTTGAGATTTTCAACTTTTTTGAGGTCTCGAATTAAAAATTTAGAATTGTAATTTTAAAATTGTTGTAAATTATAAAATTATTAAAAGAAATTGAAATTTAAAAAAATAATGTTATTTAAAAAAAATTCTGAGCCATCCAAAGTTTAAAAAAAACAAAATATTAAGTTCGACAGCTAAAAGCTAAAGAGCTTATTTTTAAAGTTTAAAATAATACAAAATTTTTAAAATTTAAAAATTTTAAAATATGTAAAAAAATCCAATGAAAAATATTTTGAGATTTAAAGCCTTTTTTATCTTTTGAGCTTTTTAGCTTTTTTGAGTTCTCAAATTTCTTAAAAATTTAGAATTGTAACTTTAAAATTTTTGTAAAATATGAAATTATTAAAAGAAATTGAAATTAAAAAAAAATTGAAACTTAAATTAATTAATTAAATTCTTTTTTTAAATTCTGTACTATCCTAAATTTAAAAAAGAACAAAATATTAAGTTTGACAGCTTAAAACCTCAAGAGCTTAAGAAATGACTAAAAAGTCAACATTTTAAAAGTTTAATTTTCATTGAATTTTAATTTCGTTTTTTAATATTTTTAAAATTCAAAATAATACAAAAATTTTAAAATTTACAAAAATTTTAAAATATAATTTTTTTTTAAATTAACAAAAATTGAAAAAATCAAATATCAAACTTTTAAGCTTGAAAGCTCAAACATGCTTCAAAAAAGCTCAAAAGCTTAAAAAAGCTGAAAAGCTTAAAAGATCCAATGTTTTAGGAAGCTTAAAAGCCTTAAATCTCAAAAGCTTATTCTTAATTGGATTTTTATGTATTTTGTTTCCAGTTACCAAAATTTCAAGATTCTAAAAAATATCAGTATTTTACAAAAATTTCAAAATTCATATTCAAAAAAGTTTGAGAGCTCAAAAAAGCTCAAGAGCTTAAAAAGGGCTTAAAAATCAAAATCTCAAAAGGATTTTTAATTATTTTGTTTCAAATAATATTTCATAGTATCAGAATCCAAAGAATTTTCACAATTTTAAAAATTCCAAACATTTAATTTAAAAAAAAATCCAAAAAAAATTAAAATTAAAATGTTTAAAAAACTTAAGCTTAAAAAACTTAAAAGCTTAAAAAACCTTAAAATCTTATAAATCCGAAGAGTTTGATAAATTTTCAAATAATTTAAAAAAAATTAAATTTAAAAATAAAGTGTACATTTATAAAATTCAAGTTTGTAAAATTTTAAACCTGAAAGCTCAAAATTTAAAATCTTAGGGGGTTTTTTTAAAAGACTTTTACTGTGAAAAACTGCTTCTATATCGGATTTAAACGGTTGTTAGTCCATTTCGATTTACACATAAAATTTTTTTAAACTTTTCTAGACACTAAATTCGTGACTAAAATGGCTGAATTGATACATAATATATTATTTTAGTTATGTAGTTCATTTCTTTTGACGATTTTAAGATTTTATATATATTTTCTAGAGAAAATGCTAATCTGCCAAGAAAGCCAGACAAAGCCGTAGATTATAAAATAAACTCATTTTATTTCTTTGCTATATAAATACGTATAATCGTAATAACGAATCTAAAATATAATGGTCCTCCATAGAGTTAAATTCCAGAGATCCATAACGTAACGATAACGACTTTGAATTCTTCGAATTTAAATGTAAAAATATTTAAACCAAGTTTAAATGGCTTTATAAACCACCTACATAAACTGCGCAAATAACTGTGTTTATTGTGTGTTTCAATCGTTTGCGAGCAATCCATTACGTGGTCCGGTTTGAAACACGGGAAAAATCGCATGCTATTCGTGGTTGTACACGGTAAATCGATAAACATCGACAGATTTACGACCTGCTTCTCTATTAAACCCATTCTCTATTATCTTTTGTCTCTGTCTCTACGTCTTCCTTTAATGTATGTGTGGCTTATGATTGTTTTGGTCACAATAACACGCAGATAAGTGTATGAAGGATTTTAGGAGGCATTTAGTTTCATGAAAACCTTTTTCTAGTTTAATTAAAGAGGGCGGGAAAACGTTCTATAGTAAATTTAAAAGGAAACGACGTACACGTCATCAATCAGCTGATCGGGCACGGTTGTCAATGTGATGCTAAAATCATTGCATCAAGTAAAAGTGGTAGTGGAACTACAGTGCGATATATGGCGTTTATATAAATAATACCATAGGGTCCCTAGATTTGGGACCTTAGAATACCAAAATGTCAACCAAAACTGATAGCATAATCTGATTATAGACTATTTTGGTAACACAAAAATGTATTTATCAAAATCCCAGCTGATCCTTTATTAAAGTTTTGCATATTTCTTAGTATTTTAAAACTGTTTATGTCATTTAAAAAAAATACTCTAGTACTATTATCAAATGTTTTTAAAAATTTGGCAGATACATGACTGAAATATGGATAAATTACATTATAAATACAAAATAATGTAAAATACAGTTTGCAATATCTTATTTCTTGTATTAAGGTACCTAATAAAAAACCAATAAATAACTAAAGATTCTTTGAAGCAAAATCGATTACTGCTTGCCTTAAATTTTCAGTAAAACTTTTTCTTGGGTTTTACATGGAATTGTTTTTAACATGGAAACAGTATTTTTAATTCTTCAGTCTCTATACAAACATGCTTCTTACATCTAGCGATATCCCCTAGAAAGGAAGAGCATATCAAAACTTTAGTTCGTTCGTCCGTCCTCTTCCCTTAATAATTTTTTATGCCCTTTATATCTTGCCATTTTGCAGATAAATCACATACATTCTTGGCTGCCGCGAAATTCTCTAGCAATTTCTAAATTTTGAAGATTTGGCAATTGTGGCTACGCAAAAATACCTTTTTTACCATATTGAAGTAGGTAATTTTGAATCACTTAAGTTAAAGTGTTCGTTTGAAAAAGTCTGCAGTAATTTTTATATTTTCTCTGAAACCCTAAACTCTGAATTTTTCGATTACCAAAAACAATTTTGTCTCCACAGCCAGCACATACCTTCTTTCGATTTTCTTCATGGCTTAACTTGAATTTCGGTTTAATTTTCATTTTAAAATACTATTTTTAACTTTATAAAGTATACAATAAATAAACAACAAAAGCAAAATGTCACTTAACGTTATAAGGTATAGCATTTTTTTTCATAACCACCTTAATAATTAATTATTATTGTTTTACAAAATTTGCAAGTAAAATTATTTCATAGACAAACTTCCAGTATTTTTTGTTATAAAAAATATTTAAGATATAAATCTTCGTTTTTTTTGTTATGTTTTGTTTTAAGTGGTAAAAAATAATACTGGGGAGTAAAGTAATTTAAATGATACAAAGTTTATTATTTTGCTTAATTTTATTAAAATTGTACAGGTTGTTTTAGTTCAATAATTGCAAAATAATATATAGAAATAGAAAAACAAAAAAACAATAATAATATATACCATGGTATATACATATTATATATTATATATATATATTATTATTTTATGTATCCAACATATATTTTGTTAAATATTCTAATATATAATTAATAATAATCCTATTTACTTATCTAACAGCTCTTAAAGGTAACAAAGGTCCATTATTACCCGTTCTGCCTCAAAATAGCGTATTAAGGATGATACCAACTCTTGACTCCGACTATTTAAATGCTTCGGTATTTTAAATATAGAAAAAACAAAAAAACAAAATATAACAAACACAAAAACGGCAATGAAAACTTAAACGATATAAAATAACACAAACAAAAAACAAAATATACGAAATTATACACGAATTAAACGAAATATTCAAAAACACAATTGACAGCTTCAAAATTCTAAAACGTCAATTTTTTTTTCTATGCGTCATTTTATTAAGCAAAATTTTAATCTAAACATGACAACATTGCAATTGCTGCCAACTAAAGTTGTTTTAAATGCATTAAAATATTCAATTACAGACTTCATTTTATACCTTTAGTGTTGGTACCAGTGCCCAAAATTATGACGTCATCGATGACGTGTGCGTAGTTTCCTTTTAAATTTACTATGAGATTATACTATGAGATTAGTTCTTTATACTACATTTTTTATTTGCCAAAATTAGAATAATGTCGAATTATTATAGTTGATATTGCGATTTAGGGATTTATTCTACAGTTGGTAGAACAGAATATCAGCTTAACCTCAATTGTCAAAATTTGCTTAAACAATATTTTAAAGTCATAGTTTCCAAATAAGACTGGAAAAAAATGTCTCTTATATCCTCTTATATTAGGTTATAAGACTAGTGCTTGT